ATTTTGCATTAAGCAGTTATCACACAAAAAAAAAAAAATAAACAAGCAAATATGACATCTTCAGCTTTTTGCAATGCTAATGACAGTGATGTGGCAGTTCCTCAAAACTTAAAAATTTGGTAGGCTGAGTACTTCCTCCTGCCAAAGAATGATATGGAAGAAGATACTTGTTCTTCTCAAGGCTTGATGACTCACATTAAACACCTGCTAATTGTCTTGTACTTGTTGAAGTAACATCCCTGCTAGCTACTCCCTCCAGCTGAGTTAATAATTATCTTGGAAGTTGTGAGCTTTTGTTAATGAGACTCTGTATAGTACTCCTAATTCAGGAGGCTGGTCCTCACAGTTGTATTTGTTTTCTGAAAGGTTCAAGAACTACACTTTCTCCGATTAAGTGTCACAGTCTGACTCACAGGAGGAGTGACTGTCCCAAGGCAAAATTCCTTTTGTCCCCATTGCCTAGGTCTACTAGGCTGGATTAGGCTGGATTATTAGGCAAGACTTTCACAGTAGATGTCTCCTCCATGCCTTCTCCTTAGTCATAAAAAGAAGAAATTCTCACATCTAACATTCCAGCTGTGGTATGTTAACAGTCAGTGTCAGTTTTCATTTTCACTGACAAGGTCCACTGCTATGGAAATCCCTTTGTAGTTGTTCTGTGGATATGAACATAAACATGAATATCCCTTAGTCCTGTAGGGAAGGGAGTGTTAATGTCTGTAGACCAAACCTACTAAAGTAGATCCTGCAGATAAAGTGGAAATTGTTTTACTCTGACAGAAAGTTGTTATTATGCTGAATTTGTCATATGCTGCAGAAGGAGATATGTTAGTGCATTTTCCTCAAAAAAAACATGTCTGAGAGAAATAGAGGGAATTTGATGAGGCCTTGTCCTGGTCCATCCAGCTAAAGGAAACATTGTAAGGGAGATGTGACTGTTGTTAGTTTAGCAAAGAAATTCCCAGGTAACCAATACCTGTATGTGTATTGACAGACATATTTCGGTAAAGTCATTAGCAATAAAGCCAATGGATAAATACAGATTCCTAACAGAAAACGCTCATTTCGTGGAGAAAACTGTAGAGGAACTGTCTGTAGGTTCTGAGAAAACAGCAGCAATGCTTTGTATTTCACCATGAAAATATATAATAGTTCATATTATTTTTGTTGTCTGTTGCATTCAGGCCCTATTAAATATGTAATCACATTCCTTTTAAGATATTCCACCCTTGCTGAATTGACCAAGCCTTTGTCTGATTAGTCAGGGAGTCCAAATTCAGCTGCTTCCATGGCTGTGTCCCATCTTTGGGAGGTTGTATCCTCTGCTTGGGCTGTCCTGACACAGCATGAGCAGCAGTATCTAACCAGGGCAGCAGAGGGGACAGTAACTGGGCCATCTCAGCTGCACATGGGCAAGCAGCAGCTTTTCTGCAGCAGTTGGATCTGGATACTGGACTCATCACACAGACAGCAGAAGGTGTTCACCATTTAGGAAAGCACATGCTTGACCAAGCAGCTGTTCCTCATCTCTGCTGGGAAAGCCATGATTTTGTCCTTACCCTTTTCCCGTGCTGACTGCCGTGAGTCACCTCTTGTTGGGTTTTCAATGGCACGTCTTGACAAGCATGTATGGAGACAGTCTGCCTCAGACTGACAGATAAATGACAGATGTCATTCACATGTCATTCATCTGCATTACCTTTCTTCTCTGTTTTCTTTTTCCTATCATGCTACCTGCAGGTTTCTAAACAAAAAAAACCTCACTGGTCCTAAATTACAGCTTCTCTCCTGCAAGCTCTCCTGTGCCTTGTACATCTGCCTTTTGCGTTTCCAGAGATACCAGCTGTGAATTAGCTTTGTGCTATGAACATCCTAACCTCCCTCCCCTCCCTGGTTACTTTTTACTGTAATTTCCAGCTGTTCAAGGGTTTAGCTAAGAACTGTGGTAATGTTTGAATTGAAATTGCCTTGGTTAGAGGGGCCCCTAAGTGCTGGTGTGATATTGTGTCCTGATGGAAATGGTATTTGCAGAGTGATGTGCTGAATGACCTCTATGGTTCTCCCTGTTTTCGTCTGGGAACAATTCTGAACTGGCAGCAGTTTCTTAGTTTGTTTTGATGTGTTGTCATGGTGGGTTTTTTCTGTAGGGGCAGAGGAAATTTTTGCAGCCCTTTTACTTTGTTTGTGGCTGGAACCTGAATAGCCAGGCCTGGGTCAGGATGATGGAGCACAGAAAAGGGGTCAGCCATGGTGCAGATTTACAATAAGGGAAATAATCACATCATTGGTATGATGGAGACTTAGGCAAATGGGCATGCCTGCAAAGAGAGAACTTCAACTCCTGTGTCTGGCACTCAGAGCTTTTTGAGTGGAGATGCACCCAGTAATTCTGAGAAGTTTTGAGTGTCACCCAGAGAAAAAGGCTTAGCTGATACCTAGTATTTTCCTCTCCAGGGATGTAAAGTTTTAGCCCAAGTAGAAGTGATTAACTTCAGGCATTCTTTCTTAATTTTTATTATTTAGCTGTCATTTCATGTTATTGCCATTACTCTTTCCTGTTAGCTGTCAGCAAATATTTTCAGTGCAACTTTTATGTTATTGAATACATTTCCCCCAAGTCTGGGTTTACTAAACAAAATGCATGCAAATATTTGCTGCCACAACATTATGCTAGTCAGGATTTCAGAAATAACCTGACAAACTGTGAGAATGTACTAGTAAGACAGAAGGGTGCTTAATTTCTTGAGTAGTTTTTTGACTTAAGTAGGGTTTTTTCATCATAGTTGTTTGACTGTTAAACCACTGTGGTTTTCATAGATTTTATTGTCATAGTTGGTTGTAAGCCCATTATCTCATTCACACACCTTTCTAGTTGATTACTGCTGGCAGGTTGAAGGAAATGTCTTTTTTTTAAAAAAAAAAAAAAGAGAAAAAGTTGCATTTGTTTAGAGAACAAGTTTCCAGAATCTCACTAATACTTTTTTATGCAAGAATATTTTTCCTTAAAAAATCATTTTGTTCATATTTTTTGAGTTTGTGTTAGTGTGTATCTGTTTCTATGCAATACAGCCTGTACTGCTTGTCATCAATGATTATTTTATCTGTGGAGAAACCCAAAAAGGATTTTCCTTTGTTAACTTGTGGTCTGGCCTAGAGTTTGGCCAGTTGCAGCAGAGTAGAACAGAAATAGAGGGGATCATCAGTGAAGTGGAGAGGCTGAGGTCCCTGGTGGCGTGGTTCTCATCATGTGGAAAGGCAGATTCACAGCTGTGTGTACAGCCTTTCAGCATTAAAAATGCTGTTTTGGAAAGTGTTGGCAGTGGGAACTGGATGGCTGAGCACACTGATAATGATGTCGGGTTTCTTCCCACACCCCAGTGCTGGTGACTGGCAGGTGTCACCTTGGTGGCTTTGCAGGATGGGTCTGATCCCCACCCAGCACTCTGCAAACAGCTGTCCCCATCACAGGAGTGGTGATCCCAACAACTGCTAATTGCCAGACCTACTCAGCACTTGGGAAACTCTACTCCAGTCTTGGGAGAAGGAGGCCTGAGACTGGGATGTGTTGTTGGGAGGATGGCTTCCATTCTCCAAGTGGGTTCTGGGCTGTTTTGGGGAATTTACATTACCACTGTATGTTGCCATGCTCCTCACTTCTCTGTAAATGAGCCTCTGTCCCTGAAGCTGTCAGTCTACTCCCTTCCACTGCATCAGTTTTTAAACACATAGCTAAATACATAAGAGGGATAATATCTTTTACCCTTCTCACAGAAAATACAATCTTTCTGCTGATCTCAGTGTTAAACCAGGGTTATTTACTCTAAGTTTAGATTTTACACAAGGATGGGACAATGCCATCTGCACCAATAATGCACAGAGGGGTATTATTCCCAGAAAATTTTGCATTGCCTAAGGATTGGACATCAGGACTATAGGATTTGCAAGAGAACACAGAAACTTTTAAGGAAAAATAAATCAAGAAGTTAGCAGCAAACCAATCGATGTTTAGTGATCAGTATGAGCAGGGAAGGGTATGTAATATCTTGGCTCACTGTCATCAGAAATTGCTACTGTGGGATTTGGCATGTTACCATATGTAGCTGAAAATGAAATTTGAACTTCTTTCATGCAAACAAAAATAACTTTCTGCCTTATTTCTTTCTCATTAAGAATGCAATCGAAATATTGAGGGAGAAGTTTGAAACATATTGATTTCATTTTGAAGGCATATTATTAAATCTCTTGAGGGCTTGTTGATCTTGAATCATTTCATTTTCATAGTGTTTCAGATTGAAAATTATTAGTAATTCTGTTTAAGTTGCAGCTAAATTACTAATTAACTTTCATCTCAAAGATTTTATTTCTTACATGTTTCTGGCAGCTCAGTGCACTCTCTACACAATGCAGCAGAAATTTTTTGTTACCTGCCTCTTTGTGCTCCATATAATCTTATAAAGCAGGTTTGGAATTAATGAGCTGTCACGTCTTGGGTAATGAATGAAAAGAGCTGACAGAAATCCTTTTGTTGTTTAAGAAATTCCAAATAATTAATGGAAAAAAAAAATGACAGAGGTTCTTTTACGGTTTAAGAAGAAATGCAACTTTCAAATTCTTTCCATGACAGAAGAAACTTTAAAATATGTATGCAAAAAAATGCAGGGATCCCTGATTAATGGGTTAATTCCAGTTCTCTCTTCTGAGATAAACTTGCAGAATTTGAAATAAAAGAATTTTCTGTTTTGAGAAATAGTTTCCTAGTCTGCAAGTTCCTTATTCCACATTCATCTCAGAAGTGAAATATATTTTGATTTGCCACTGTGGACAAATTGAGTTAAGCACTGAGCATGTTTATAGTAATCATTTGTTGTGTGCACAGAAGATGTAGTAAACTGCAGGTTGGCATTGTGGAAGGCAAGGTGTTCCCTTTTGTTCTATATTTTTCTCCAGTTTCTGAAGTCCCACTGCAGCTGTTGAGAATAACTTGTGCTGCTGTTTTCCAGGTAACCATCTCAGATGGGGGCACATCTCCCAAGCAATCCTCCGTTTGGGTGGTGGTCCAGGTTCTGGATGAGAATGATAACAAACCACAGTTTCTAGAGAAAGCCTATCAGATCAAGCTGCCCGAGAGGGACCGTAAGAAAAGAGGGGAGCCAATCTACAGAGCTTTTGCTTTTGACAAAGACGAAGGCCCTAATGCGGAAATCTCGTACAGCATTGTGGATGGCAACGATGACGGGAAGTTTTTCATTGATCCCAAAACAGGGATGGTTTCTTCCAGAAAGCAGTTCACAGCAGGGAGTTACGACATCTTAACAGTAAGCACTCTTTCGCTGACATACAAACCCATGATTTGACTGACTTTTTTTTTTTTTTTTCTTTTCCAGAAATAGGTCTTCCTGTATGAAGAGGAATATATATATAACTGTGTTTATGCCCCGCATGTAAGACCTAAATTAAGAAAACTAGTATTCATATACAACTATCCCCAAAAAACTGAGTCTGAGAGATCATTCATGCTATTGCAAGTCATGAGGTAGTCTCTGAGTGTTAAGTCAGCCTGTAAATTGTTAGCATAAGCCATTCCCTTGAATATTCAGAAATGAAGACCAAGCAAGCACTTGTCTGCTCCCAAAGTTGTATCGTGTTGGCTGGGGCAGATACAGCTACAAATGACTACTTACTTTTTGAGTAAGTACAGTTGTTTGCCCGTACAGAGGGCATCTACTGTCCCAGTTATGTGGCTGCATTTAAGTACTGTGGAGTACTGTGTACTCTGTGTTGTGGAAACAATTTCAGTTAAAAGAAGTCTCAGTCAAAATTCTTCTTTCAGAACTGTAACCATATAGTGAAAGAAAGGGGGAATAAAATATGTTTGAGTTGATAAAAAGCCATATAATGAAATGTGTGCTGTTCGTCCATAGAAATAAGCCAACAAGTTGTAGTTAAGGAGTTGAAATAAAAGTGTCAGAGGCCCATGGTCTGGCATCTGGAAGTAATGTATCTTACAGGTGTGTTGCCTTCATAATGTTGGAAAAGGAATAAATAACAAAATGTTGAGAAATACCTAGGAATCAGAGTAGAGCAGCCTTCAAGTGAGTGAGTACTTTTCCCTCTGATGACCTCAAAGTCACGTTTGAGATCTGAGCCTTCTTATAATGCAACAACTGAAGATTTTCTACCTAGAAACTGCTCATTACAGCCTCGGCATCTCTTCACAAAGGGCGGGACTGCCTGCCTGGAATGGAACAGGTTGACAAGTGTTAGCATCAAACCCACTTAACACATTTCCAGAGGAAGAAATAGGGCATGATGATATTTCAGGGGGAAAAAAAGTATTTTCCATTTTTAGAAGATATTAAAGCATCATATTTACACCAGTGGTCCCATATAGCCAGAAACATTACCCCTTTTTTTTTAAAAAAAAGCCTTTTTTGTTAACATTGATGTTATCCATCAAAGCACCCATTTTATAACCTGCATTCAGCCTTTTCATAAGCCCAGTGTTTGTTGCTGCTCCTCTTGTCTTTGCTATGCTAAATCCATTAAGCATGCCACACAAATATCAAGTCTATCCATCTTTCCAGAGGACTTTATAATAATAAGAATTAGCACCAATCAAAGCAGCTTTTAATGAACATGACAGCCAGGAGAAAGAAAAGAAAATACGGCAAATTTTTAAATTATATTCATTATGGAGAATGAGGGAAATTACTTGAAACTTATTTAATTAAATTAAAAACCCTGAGGAAGGCAATATAAGGAATATTTGTGTCCAACAGAAAACTTGCCATTTGAAAGCAGTCAGACATGCTCTGAGTGAGCATGTTTTGCAAGTGTACAGTCTCACACAGGGTCATTACAAAGCTTCCTTCTTTGCTGCAAGAGGGAGCTGGGTACAAGATGAAATCAGAGAGGGAAGCTGGTTCTGGAGAGGAGGATCTGTGTGGGGAGTGTTTGAATTGCATCTGCAGGAGTTGTCATACCAGCATTCCTTAAAGAAAACATTTCAGTTTAAAATCAAGTGTTTTTCAGTGAGAAGTCAAAGCATTATGCAAGAAAAAAAAAACCCAATAAAGTGAGAACTGAGATGTAAGTGTTTATCTTCCTCTTTCTTCGTGGGATTTTACATACAGGATTACCAAAACCCATTTTCCAAGCAGTTACCTCACAGCAGTAGAATTAGGTCTGACTTGCCAAGCTGGGATGCTCAGCCTGAGCCCTCTTTTCTTTGTGCCTGCCAGATAAAAGCAGTGGACAATGGCCGGCCCCAAAAATCTTCAACTGCACGTCTCCATATTGAGTGGATAAAAAAGCCAGCGCCCTCGCCCGTGCCCCTGACTTTCGACGAGCCCTTCTACAACTTCACCGTCATGGAGAGCGATAAAGTGAACGAGATTGTCGGGGTGGTCTCTGTGGAGCCCTCTAACATCCCTCTCTGGTTCGAAATCGTCGGTAAGTTGGGAGCCAGCGGTGCGAGGAGGACGCCCTGGAAGCAGAGCACATGGCTGTGTGGTTTTGAGAGCAAGAAAACTAACTGTGAAGCGCCTCCCCCACCTCCCCCCCAGTTATATCTGTTATCCTAATGATGAAATGAAAATGCTATTTTAATATAGTGATAACAGTAGTAATAATAATAATAACAATAACAATAATATTCCTGCTTTTGTTATGACTCCTTAGCTAAGCTTAAAAAAGAGCGCTGTATGGCTGAATTGTTTTTTTTTCATACTATGTTATTTACTGCAATCTTAATGTTGTCTGTCATTTAAATTCTATTGTCATACTTTGCTAATCTCATTTCTAAATGTATTTATGGTACTTAGACTTGCTGTCCCTCATTTCTCTCTTTCTTCACCTTTTTTTCTGCATTCTGTTCTTTTTTTTCTGCTTCCGACTGCCCTGCTTCAAGGTGGCAAGCATGCTCGAGAGATGTTCTATATTCTACAGACAGCTTGTGGGCAGAACTGTTCAACAGAAGGTACCCTTAGTGCAAACACATTTGCTAAAATACAACTATCCAGGCTGCCTTTTATTTTTTGCAAGTTTTTTGAGACAATTTATATTACATCTTTCATAAGTGCCTGTGACAGGATGCGATGCGACACATGGATGTGCTGCATTTCTTTCTATGACAGCTTTTACTGTATTTGTGTCCAATTATTATCATTTTATTCACGGATTATCCACAGTTTATCACAAATAATTAATTCAAACTTTTCACAGTCCAGTGCCATCCATTTAACTGTGAAACAGAATGGGATGCCTCAACATATGGGTTACAAATGGAGCCACCGAAAGTTTGTCTTGAATGCAAGCTGAAACAGAGAAATGTGTTTTGATGTGAGATTTCAACCACAAAATTGCCTTACATAAAATTGCTTATAAAAATAGGGAGGGGGAAGCATCCTAAGTAAAAAGGAGAAGAAGCCACAGAAGTCTTAAAATCACAGGGAAATGCCATTAGCTGCCAAAATGACAGGAAGCAAAGGGTTGAAGTGGAGAAATGGGAGTCAGTGTTCTTAAGTATTTTTTCCTCACTTCTGCTGCTGATTCAGATAATGTCATTTAAAATAACTCATTTAACATGTCAAAAGTGAGAAATTCCCCTGGAAAACTATTGTGCTTTTTAATATTTGCAGATGCTCGTACGTAATGTTTGCGTATCTTTGGATGTAAAACAGTGCATCTGCACAAAGTGTAGTTGTTTAAATGAAGGATCATAAAGCGAATGCTATATGAAAGATTAGAGAAACAAAAAGCCTTTGCCACAGACTTAGCAGAAAGTGTGCATCAGCAGTCTTTATTTACAGGGATTGAGCCTGGCTCCCATTTCAGCGTAGTTATTTGCAAATGGGTTTAGCCAACAGGAAGGACAGGGACCACAGGAGAAAGGGTCTGTCAGAGTTGTTTTCATCCACCTTTTATTGCCAGTTTGTGCAGATGAAAGACAGAAGCAGCACCACTTCCTCTCTGAATTTGTAGCACAGTTTCTGATGTGCCAATCATATTAAAATTAAACCCAAAGCTACTACCGTGTTCTGGCGTTCCTGCTAGTCCCTGGGGGAGGACAGCATATGTTTTCTAAGGTTTTCCTGCCATTTCCTTGGTTGCTTCAGTATGCTACATGCAGGTTATTAACTAATGTTTACATTTCCATTCCCTTCCTCACTGACCCTTTCCTCCCAGGACAAATCCATCTTTTTGATGTTATTGGCATTTTTTATCCTATTTGAACCTTTTGCTGGACTTCTTTTGGTCCTTTCCATGGCAACTTGACCAATTCTCATTAAAATGCTGCCCTGAGGGAAGCCTCTGCTCTTCCACTACATTCTTTTTCATTAAGAGAGACTTTAAATCAAGCAACACCTTAGAATGATATTTGATTTTTTGCCTACCAAACAGAGATGATAGGGAGAAAATCGGGAAATTTTAGCCTCTGTCATTCAATGTGGTCTTTATGCCTAAAGTAGTTCAAAGGATATAGAAGATTTTCCCTGTTTAAACAATTCTAATGGTTTCCCTCTAGTCTGCAGCTTCTGAAGTTGCAAGATGCTGCATCACTGCAGAGGTCACTGAGACAGAGCTTTCCTAGATTTAATGAGAAATCGGTGACCCTGACCGTCCAGTTTGGTTCTGTTACCATATGAATGTTTTCATTAAATATTGCTGCTGTTACAAACAATAGAACTCCCAGCAGCACTCATTTCTGCAACAGGAATAGCCAACAATCCTGGGCATGCAGAAGACCCTGCTGTTCCAGACATTTGGCGTGCAAGGAGCAAAGACAAAGCCCATCCTGAGAGTTTTACAGAGAGAGGACAGTGTATTCAGATTGCTGCTGTTAGCCAGTGTCAAACCCCACATTTTTATATTGTTCCTCGATATCATCAACATTGAGGTCTAGTGCTGAAAAGCCCAGTCAAAGATGTGGGGTATTTGTAGAAGTTAACTGTCACATATAGAAGGCTGTATGTGACTGCTGATGCAAGAGATGGTTTCTGTGCTGCTGTAAAACCAGACCTGATCCTGCTCCATCTGGTATTTTGTGATTCAGTACCTCTGCATAGTTCACAGTAATGTCAACAAAACCCCCGAAGGCTTATGTAGAGGCATGGTTTAATACAGAGTTTGCAGCTTGACCTTTCTCTTTATGACCTTTTCAAACTAAATGGGCATTGGAATTCCAGAGGATCTCTTTTTTAATGCATAACATGCACTTTCTCCCAGCTAAATAAAAGACAGGGAGAGCAGATAAAGTTTGGCTATAAAGTATTCTGTCTGCCTAACTTTGCACCTTAATTATATATACTTCTTTAATGGTTGAGATGTCATACCTGGTTTCTGTTTTCAGACTGCATTCAATGCCATTCATAATTCATACAGATCCCACAATATGAAATACATAAGTTGTATCAGTTGTATTAAATTTATTCAGTCATTAATAAGAAAGTAGTTTTCAATGGGAACTCCAAGAAAAGTCAGAGACCTTTATTTGTACCAGGTGAATTGAGCCCTTTCCATTTTTTCCTTTGTTACTGATGGGGATGGTGGGATGACTACTTGAACACTGGAGCTTAAGCTGCATGGTGCTAGTTTTTGCTTAAGTAGCATGTTGCACAGCATCTCTCTGGTTCCCCAAACAGTCTTCTCTCTGTCTTTGCTTCCTCCTCCAGCCTGTGCCTTTATAACAGCAGCCAAGCTTTGAAAGCACATCAGAACTTTTTACCAAGCGTGCTTAAGTGCCAATAATTTTAATATCTAATTAGTAGTGCTGCAAGTTTTCATTAATGTCAAAAGCATGTAGCCCCCTAGCCTTCTTCGAATAATCTTCTCTGAGAACTATCTAAAATGCCTTCCTGATTTCTTATCTGCTTTTTATGCCCTTGCTTTCAGCTTCTTAGCAGCAAACTCAAGGCTTTGACTCTCTTTACAGTAGTTCTGTCTAAAATTCAGAGTTTGCATTACTTTCTTTTTAGCATGATACAGTACAAAAAATAAATATTTGCCTGTCATTTTACTGATATTTATGATGTTACAGTTTAAAAAATCTGTAGTTGAATTTCTGTTTCTTGAGACAGTCACTAAGTTTATTTCATATTCTTTGAAAAAGAAATGAAAACTTCAGCTTTGTTTCTTTTTGTGAAAATCCTAGAGATACTTCAGTCTCACCTCTAAGTTTTAGGGTGAATTAGTTTTCTGTGTTTTGCTCTGATTCTCTTCCCTGACCAATGTGAGAAATGTAGCAATTGGCCCAGTTTATCATCGCTGTTCACTGCTGTCAGCTTTTTTTGGGACAAGTAGAGTCTTCTCTGCACCGAGAAAATGTGGTTTAGAGGACTCTTCTCTAAATCAGATAATCTCCCATATTTCTTTTCTCCATTTGTCCATCATGGCATGGTGGGCCAAATGAGACTTGTGTGAGGATATCCATATATCGTGGCTCTATTAAGTTTGAACATGGAACATTGTGTGCTGTTTGCTGTCTACCAGTGAAGGAGCACTCCTGCCAGGTTTTAGCTATGTTTGAACTGGGGATGTCTTCCAGAGCTCAGTGTGATCCATCCTTGCATCTAAGGCTGAACGAGTCTGATTCTCTAAAGTCTTCAGATATTTCTGAGATGGTATTCAATCCCAGCCTTTTTGATCATCCCACTGGAAAATATGGAAGAAAGTCCTCATATGGGATTCATTTGCCTACAAATTCTCCAGATTTGCTGACATGTTTTCTTCTCAGAGGAAAAAACTGTTTTTCTCAGCAGCATGACCCCATCTTAAAATGTGTATCAGCAACTGATAGGAACATGGGGAGGCTCAGCATTTTTACCAAAAAGGAAACACATCTAGGAAAAGCCCAACCAAATGAATTAACTGCTTTCAGCAAAATGCAATATAAGAAGAATATGCTTGAAAATTAAAAACCCCAGCACTGAAATTAGAAAGGGACAGAGATGCAGAGCCTATGTCCTGTGAGAATGCAAGATCTGGATTGTGCCTTGCCTTCTGCAAATTCTTCAGCTGACCCTCAGAAATCCCTTTTGATAGTTCAAGTGTTCCTCGGCCTGCCCATTGCATCTCTCTTGTTAGCCTCACGAGGTTCAATGGTTTGGGGTTTTTTAGATACCTTTTTTATAAAAAGGAAAATTAATTCTTTCCAAGGTATACAGGACTTTTGTCAGACGAAAAATTGTTCATAGTGACTATGAAGCCAAGAAATAAGCTAAGAATAAACAGTCTGGATTCAGATAGAAAATGTATTCTATACCAAATACACAACTTCTAGTCTGTTGGCTCAGAGGTGTCTCAGTTCAATTTCCTGAGATCTCTTTACTATACCAACTGTTAAACTGAACATAAAGGCTGCTCTAGAAAGTTGTAGTGAGGACCAGCTAGTAAGATCTTCTGTACCCAGAGGCTGTTTCTGTGGCTGTACTTATAACAGCTGGAATTGGAAAATCCTTTATAAACTATAACATGCTTTTAGATTACATAGAAAATTACTAGTTCTAAAATCTACTAGATCTAAAAATTTAATGCTTCCTGGGTTTATGCAAAAGCATTAAAATCAACCTCAAGAAAGTAAGGGTGGAAATCATCTCACTTAACTTTAGGTGTCCAAAGTGTAGATATAATTCTGCTAGGTGACTTTGGGAATCTTATCAATCCATTAGAGAGAAAAAGTATTTTCTGGATGAATTTTTGTCATTCCAACATCCAAAGATGGCATTTAAAGTAGATGTGGACTTTTCATAAAATTTCATTCAAAGTGCTTCAGTCTAATCAGATTATTTTCAGGGAAGTCTTTAAACTGTATTGAAGATGTATCAGCATTACATTTTAGGCTGTAATGATACCGTAGACAACAGCTAATCCACATCTCTCTGGGGTTATTCAGTATTAAAATGCTTTCTCAGGACAACTTGTCTAGCCAGACTGTCAGTTCAATCATCTTGCTCTCTTTGTCGCTGATTTTCCCAAAGTGCCTGAGGAACTCACAATGTACTACCTTCGTTTGAAGTATTTCTTTCCTAATGCAATTGCAAGCACATTAGCAAAGACAGCTTCTACATATCTTGTATCTGAAAGCAGGGCTTAGTAGACAATAAAAAGAAAAGCATATGCCAAACGCTGGAAAGTGGAATAAGTAATGAAAATTCACGTTAATAAAACTGAGCAGCTGAACAAAATGCCGTCATACCTAGCCCTCTTTCATCTGAAGATTGTGATCACAGAAACTGTTAAATGGACAATAGTAAAATTGTTAAAACTGATACTGTGGGAGCTTATGGCACTGCAGGCAAGCTCACTCCCCAAGGGTCGGCACAGACACAGCGTCAGGCTTTTGGAAACAGCCTTCATCACCCCAGAAGCCAACACCTTCTCAGCTGTCACCTCCTAGGGCCTCAGCCCTCCAGCCTCTGCATGGGCACCTTCAGAAGGAAGTGGTTTCATGTGGAGTTCCCAGCTGCAGGAGTTAGAGAGGATTCCTGATTGTTTTTACTTAGAAATGGTACCTCTCTGTTTGTGCAACTCCATCACCCATCTTTCGAAGATGATTGTGGTGGATGCTTCTAGTAGGCCTTGCATAGACTTAACACATCTATAAGACCCTTAATATTTAACTTTGATAGCATTTTTATGTAATTCATTAATTCTTCAATGTTTAATGCAGCTTCAGAAGCATTTATCATATGAGGAACTCATATAATGTTTTGAGCATATATGAAGGCCAAGGAGCAGCACAAACCATTTGCAGATTGCCTCTAGAACTGCAGATGAGAGGCAGGACTCCTTATCTCAGGCAGTATTCCCAGAAGTTCATCCATCTGCATGGTTCTTCACCTGACCATGGTCTCTTAAAATGCAGAAGACTGAATCATGAATAATTCAGGGTTTCATTCCAAAATAGATTATAATCACAAATCTCACAGCAGGATGTTCTCTGATCAATCTGCCTCAGTGTTTGATGCAATTTCTGTCTTGTTTAATAGAAAATGATTCTATGTAAAATGAACTGCATTGCCTGGTTAGTTACAGGTGTAGGCTGTGGTGGCTGGCAACCAAGATTAATTTGTTTGTCCCTAGACCATTTTGGAAGATGTGAATAATGTATAAAAAATTCACATAATGGATTCAGTTCTTCTTTTTAGGGGAAGAGTATACTTCAGTTAATGGAAATGGTTTGAAGAAGTTGGTCTATTTGCAGTAGACCATGTGGTGCCCTGAAAACCCATCTCCAAGCCAGCAGAAGGTCATTTAAAACATTTATTGCTAATCCTTCCATGTTACTTCTTGGAAGTTTTAAAGGCAGGTTTTTTTGGAAGTGTGTGCCAGTTGATAGCATATAATTTTTGATTGCTCATTAAGATGGTTATTAAGCATCTCAAAGTATAGACTTGCACTTTGTTTTCATGGTTATCAGTATGAAACATTCTCTTTGGAAAGTGCCTACTGTCCCAAGGCTAGTTTCATTTCAGCTGAGATTTCCTTGCATGAATCTCAAGCTCTTTTCTTCAAAGGAGGTTTTCATGGTGCAATTTTTCTCAAGTAAATCAATTTCAAACATTAATTGGGGGAGAAAAACTTTCTTGCAAACTATTTTTTTTAATTTTTTTTTTATTTTAAAAAAGAGCACCAAAGATAAAATCAATGTCCAAATTCCGTGCTATTGCTTAAATATCAAGGACAGATTGCAGAATACAGGTAAGGAATGAGCAGTGTTTCTATCTGCCATAAATGACAACAGATCCAGTGGCAGTGATTTCCTGGAAGACCACAACTTCATCTATTAGGGTTAGACCTGTATATATGGACATAAATCTATTCAACATGTGGAAATCTGATGGCACATCTGAAATTACTACATTTGGATCATTTCAGTGGGCAGAAGTTCATCAGTTCTGCCTTTCCTCTGCAGCAGTCACCTGCATTCTTATTTTTTTCCTCCCATTTTCTTTTATCCATCCTGGAATGTCTTTCAAGGCGAAGATGGACGGAGCAATGCTTCTTCCACCTTGTCCTTTCTTTGCAATAGCCTGTGCAAGAGGTAGAAGTGAGGTTCCTTCACATTATGGAATTCAGGGGCTGTGATTTTGCTGTATTACTTCCCAGTCTTCAACTTCTTCAAATGCCAAAACCTTCTTCTCTCACTAAATGCATGACTGCTTCTGAGAATAAAGTATTTCACCAGAGCTAAGTTAATGGGATGGATATTTTTCTACCTGTGGACCTCATCTCAAGAGGTTTCAGCAGCTGTTACACAAGTCTCATAACCAGTGGGGTTTGAAAGGCTTTTTGTCTCTGTAGAACTGGGTTGGCATTGAATTGCTGTGTTATGAATATACCTTAAGAGTTTGTCTGTCAGCAGTGTTGTGTCCCACCTCTCCCTGTCCCTAGCCTCCAAAAATTTCAGACTCAACTAATAATAAATTACACTTTATAGATGAGTGAGTAAGAAAACAGCTTATCAGCAGGGAGTGTATGCTTTGCTTTCCAAAATAATGAGTGGTTCAAATTTATAAACTATAGCTGTGGCTGACAAATCTTGTAACCCTTCAATCTGAAATGATATTTGAGATTATATTATTTATAGCTTTCTTTTACTTTTTAAAAGATTTTTTTCCTTTTCTTTCTTTCACTCAGTACTTAGGAGGGTTTACCCACTGCTGCATCATTCAGTGTGTGTCAGGAAAAGGGGATGTTAGTATTTGAACAGTGCTTTGTGAGGGTTTTTGCTGCATTGAAAAGAATTTAGGTTGTGTATCCTGTCAGATCTATTTGAATAATTCCTAATAGAATGGCAGGATTTGACCTTTGCTGCCAGTAATTATCATTGTCCTTGGTATTAACATAATAAATATATATTTGCTTTTTTTTAATTGATTATAATTGTAATTTTAAAAACTTAGATGATGGTACAGTAAGAATTTCCTGAAAATAAAATTTGCAGAATAAAATCCTTTGAAATTATTATTATACAAAAAAATGATTATTCATTGTTTGTTATTCAGACTACAAGGGCACATATCTTAGGGGGTTATAGCCATTTGATTCTTTTTACAGATTCAGCTATAGTTTACTTAAATGTACTGCTAGATTTTTATTCTTTATTTTTGGCAATGCATTTTAATGATACCTGCTTTTCAATATACAGACTCTGCTTTGAAATATAAATGAGTTACGAACAAAGAAGTATCACTAGGCGTACTGTGTATGCTAAGACAGGCCATTAAGATGGCACTAAACAGATATGCTCATTTTTAGGAATACTTGCAATTGAGCTTTTCAAGAGATGGCTAATTTGATTGTATTTTTGTGCAACAATTAGGAGGGAATTACGATAGTTCTTTCGACGCGAAGAAGGGAGTGGGCACTATTGTCATTGCAAAGCCCTTGGATGCAGAGCAGAGGTCAATGTATAATATGACTGTGGAGGTCACCGATGGAACAAACATTGCCACAACTCAGGTAGAATATCACATTCCTTTCTTGGCAAGTTATTCATTTGTTACTGGAATGTATATGCTATAAAAATTATTAATTTTTCCATTCAAGTGAAACCTCTTCCTTTGAGACAACCAATAACTAATGGAGGGGATATTTTTCAGAGCCTTTCCATCTGGCTATAAAGAATCGGCTGTTGAATGTTTCAAAGCATTATTTCTCCTTTTGTTCTCTTCCTGCTCACATGAAAGTAATTTGCCTTCCTCCAGCTGAGGGAGTCCCTATCACAGGCAGCTAAGCCTAGATTTTGACAATTGTGTCGCCCCATAATAGTCCAAAATACAATAGTGCTCCATGGTGTTGGGGAATATTGCTATTGATTGTGTTAAATGGAGTTTATACCTCTCATCCTCCAAAGACCCAAATGTGGGACACAAGATCAATTGTTCAGAGAAGAAATTGTTCAGAGGCAAAACTTAAAATTCAAAGAATCCCTCATTTAGTGTCACTGCCTGTGATTACACTGTCTTCTGTGAAGCAGCCCCACTGAAGCTTTTAAAACCAGGCTTGCTTATCAGGCTCATTGCCTTAAAAGTTGGGTCAGATAAACGTGACCAGCTGGAGCAATGCTGGCTCTGACACATCTTTGTTGGAGAGACCCTGATGCAGAGCCTAGGTATCTGTTCAGTGGGAACCAGTCTGGAATTGGGTCATGGCATGAGGACAGGGACTCTGAGGTCCAGGTGTGGCACCAGGGAGACTTCAAACAGCAAAATCCTTTGATATGAGGTGGAGTTGTGGCCTGTGGATTACTTAGGGCCTGAAATTCTACATCTGAGTTACTCCCCAAGTGTAAATGAAAAAAAAAAATAGGTTTTTGATGTTATTTTCTTCTTTATAATTCAGAAGGAAAGCCTGAACATTTTTGTTTACATATACGCATGCACATGCAGATGCTTCTGTTGTACCTTGCCTTTTTGCTCAAATGCTTTGGATGTAAATCTGTATTCACTGAGCCACAACACCAGCTTTCCTAAGAAATTGTGTAAATCACCGAGTGCTTTCTCAATATGAATTCCTGTTTATATATTCTGTTTATAACCCAGCCCTAAAATGTTGAATGTTTCCTCCTAACAATCCACCCTTGGTAAGAAAATAGCAGTCGATAGTAAGTTAGGTGGAAGGAAATCCACTGTTTTCCCTGTTAGTTTAAGAATTAATTGCATCTCTGCTAAAAACATCCCTCAACTGAAGCTTGATTATATCTGGCCCACGTTCCCTGTTATGCCTTTCTCTGCTCAATTAAGGAACTCTTTAAAAACTACTATTTTTTCCCCAGGAAGGCACTCACAATACTCAAATCATCTCTCAGTCTTCCGGTAGACAAACGAAGGAGAATGACTGACCTCTTTATGTTCCCTTTCCATAAGGCATTTTCTTCAATATTTGAATTTTTTTTAATATTATTATTTTATTTTTTTTTTGTTATGCTGTGTTTTTTTATCTTGGCTACACTCTTAGTCCACATTTCAGATGGTGCTGAATACCTAATGTGACCTTTTTTCTTTCTTGCGAACACTTCAGCCAAAAAAATATTAAAAAGCTTAGGGAATTTCAAACATGCTGGATTAAAGTAATTTCTCATGAACATTGCGTTTATTGTTTCTGCTGCTTTTGATTTTATAAATTGACCCATGTAACAGTCCTCAAAACCTAGTTGGATGAAACCCCTACATTTTTAATTAAAACATATGGTAAAAACATATTTCAGTAAAGCTGTTGCATTCTAAAAGAAGCCTGAGCGTTCTTTTTAACAGCAATGTGACCCATTTAGGAATGTAAGATAGTTTCAGATTGCAATAGTACAGCATTAATAGTGGGTACAGACCCTTCCTTCCCCTACCTTCTTCTCTCTGTGTAGATAGTGTTTAATTATTTCATTGTGGCCAGGGCATCCCTTTGGAGCCTTTGGTTATCTTCCTCATCTTAATTTCCTTTTAGAAAAACAATGAAAAAATGTAAAACGTCATAGAATAGATCTATTTACTGATAGCTCTCAGTCGCCTTATTGTGATTTTTGATAAAACAACATTTTAAGTATTTTGTTCTATGTACACAGTACCACCTGGATTTTTAACTGTACCTGCAGGAGGTTATGGTAGAAGACAAAGTGGGTAGAAGGCAATTTTATAAATACATCCCCTTGAATAACAATGAAATAATTTAAAGTATGATGGTTTATTATGAAACAGCTGATGATCACCATGTACAATGGAACACTTGCTTTTTATTCCACCCCAGCTGTTTTCCTTTATCTCTTCCTGGCCTTTTGTCTATTATACAGTTGGAGGTGGTAAAATACAGCATAAAAATGCCAAAGATTTTTGTTTGGGTAACATGATCCCTTGCATGGACTTGGTGAAATTTCTTCAGCAATGTCCCTGCATGACTTAAACTCCAACACTTCCTTCATGCCTTATTGTGCACATGGTTCATTACTGTACCAGGAGAGGAAGGAAATAATTTTGATTTAAAAGTTACATCTGTTGTAATAATGGTTCACTGTTGTGGAAAAAAAAAAAAAAAATCTCCAAAGTGAGAACCAAAGTGCCAGGACCTGTTGAGCCACTGCCAGAGACCATGCTGCCCTTCCATCTATGCCCAAATCATCCAGGCAGCAGTTGGGATGGGGAGGAATGGAGAAGGGAGAATATGGAGAAATGTTGACTTGTTAGATTTATATATTTGAAGTGTGGGTATAAAACTTCAGTCATGGTGATTAACTTCTAGAATGGCTAAGTCTCCTGATCTAGCCAGAGAGAATTTTTGCTTTTTCCCTTTCTTTTATCCCTCATTGCTTGAGGCCACGCAGTCGTTTACTAAAGGCTGGAGGCATACATTTTCTCTAAATTCCCATGAAACACAAGTCCTGCAGCTGCTGGCTTTGCAGAGGGATTGGGGCTTCTGTATCCAGTGTGCTGGAGAGAGAGCTGGGACAGCAGCTCTGTGCAGTGATTGCTGCCTGCCATGGCCATCAACTCCCTTTGGGCTGCAGAAGGGTCTTGTGCCCTTGCTTGAGCAGAGAGAAGTCTCTCCTCACAAGGATTCATTTTAATGGCATCTAAATGCCTACTCCTGCCACAAATTTGACTCTGAAATATTAGAAATTCTCATGGTCATGAGTCAGGTTTATCCCAAACCTCTTTTTTTACTGAACAATTCTGATTTTTTACCTACAGGTGCAACAGAGGAGTGGAATAGCATTTATTTACTTATTTGTAGTGCATCTTGAGTTTTGCTAAAATATCCACAGAAACAGAGAACAGGGGGGAATCACTGAGCTACCATTTAAGTTATTATAATATTTCAGTTTTATTGAGAATGTTGTCCTTGTAGATAATTATATTTTTCAAAGAATGGGCTCTGGAGTGATGTTACTATGTGCGAAAGATGGTTTTACTCCTTATTTTCCTACCTTCTCCTCCTTTCTCATCATCGTAACTGCTATAGAAAAGATATGCTAGAGCATGAAGGCTGTTGCTTCCAAGCTATGAGGCAAAAAGCACCTCTGTTTCACTTATTGCAAAACCACCTGACTATTTGCCAGTAGAGTGGGCACTCAGAGGGTAATGTGCAATTCCCTCAGAAAAGTTTCTGCAGATCAATACATGTTCACTTATAATACCTTCTTCTGGAGCCCACCAGACTGGAAGAGCAGACAGAAGTTACTTACTGCCCCTTTCTGTCTCTTCTTGCAGAAGGTTTTGGAATTTAATTTATTCTTGTGCTGGGGATTGACTTTTAACTCTGAGTTTCTGTCTCACCTTTCAGAGATCACCTTCTCTTTACAACATTTTCTTAAGAGGAGCTGATCAGTCACCCTGAGTGAGGGTGGTTCTCTTAAATGAATGGTGAAAAGCTCTTCTTAGAGGACCATGGCCAAAATGTAGATAAGACATTAGAGCCTGCCAGAAGCAATTCTGGGCTGTGGATTCTTCTAGGGCAGAAAAAGAGACATGGGGATTCAATTCAATTTTTTGCTTTTGCTCTGTTGAACATTTCCTCCAAACTGTAACCAATCCAATCTTTGATTTTTTTTTCTGTCACATCCAGTAATCTCAGCACTGCCTTGCCTATGAAGCAAAGATTTTTCTTTCAATTTTAACATAACACAAAGAACACAGTAAAGTATAAATAACTGGCCACTGAGGTTGGTAGGGAAACTGAATTTTTATGTTAAATTTAGGGTTTGAAGGAAAGAAAAACTTGTCAGGAAGTAGAAAATAAAGCTATGTGCTAACACTATTGAAAGCAGTATTGAATCAAAATTCATTTCAAAACCTGTACAGAAATGTAACCTGAGTTTAAATAATTCAGGCACTTAATAGGTTGTACTACAACACGGTGCCTGGACCAAGCAATTAGCCAAGCAGATTCTTCTAGCTTCAAATGTCTGTAAAGCAGCTGCTGGCATTTACCCAGTTTTCACTCCAGTATGTCTGTGCCTAAACCAAAGGTATTTGTTATGGGCAACATTAAAAACAGCTTTGGAAAGACTTCCTGCATTAGGTTTTGTCCTGCTTTGATTTGATTGTATTTCTCTAGGCCTTTCACTTACCATTTTGAGTACAAAGTCTTTGCTAATGCTCTGTGTGTTACTTTGCCTAATTTGTAATCTTGGAGGCCCGTGATTCCTTTATTTGAAACTTGCTTTAACTGTGGGAAATAGGAAGTGAGCAGGGAGAAGCAAATCTTTTATCATGAGGCGCTTGTTCAGACTATAAATTAGGCTGCACACAATGGACTCAGAAGGAGGCAAGCCTGCCTTTCTGAAGCCCACAATGCACTGGAAAAGATACAGGCTTTCAAGAAGAACCAGGCAGAGACTGGTTTGCTGCATGTTGGCTTTATGAGCGTGGAAAAGGACTTTTGGCTAATGTTTGTCAATGAAAAGTAGTTCAGTCAGTAATCTTGAACAGTCGTCAGCAAAGAGAAATCCCTACTTAGCATCCAACAAACAGTAAACATTTCCATTTGTCACCTTTTGGAGATGTGTTGGGAAACTTTTAAAGCCTGGCTTTGATCCTACACAGTGGGTATTGTCATAGCTTTACACCCTGGGCACCTACGCAGTAATGAAGGATATTTATGCCACACACCTCATTCTTGCCATATCTTCCATTTGGGAATAAATATGTAGAAAATACTAAATTACACAGACACTGGGAGTCTCTGAGTCACTTGAGTAGTGTAACACTTGATTTGAGGTGAAGGATGTGCTACCAGCTGGCTAAAGTGTAAGACTTCAAGGACCCTTTTCCTGACCCTTTTGAAGTCAACAGGAAATTTTTCAACAGTACCAAGATTTTATGCCTAAAGTTGGTAGCTGTTAAATGAATTTGAGAAACTTTGCTCATATTAACAATCTGGTGGCACTCAGTTTAGTCAAATTCATGTATGTTTGTAGGATCAGGTTTTCTATGAGCCTGGTATTCATGTGAGTGTCCCATTTTCCTTTATTTCTGTTTAAGGAACATCTTACTAGAAGTTATCCTGATGAAGCAGGAAATCTGCATGGGAAGGATGGCATTTTAAGGTGACCTAATAAAAGGGGTGTGGCTCAAAAATAAACTTAAAACACCTTCCTCAGCTTGACCACTGCCCTTCACCTGTGATTTTGGTAGTCTTGGTGCAAGGCATTATTTTCCTGAGCAAAATATGGGGATAATAGTCACTTTCTCCTGAGAAATGTTGTAAGAACCATGGGACTAATATCTATTTAAAATGGGACTAAAATTCCATTTTCTTTTACCTGATTTTGTTTCAAGTAACTCCCAAGATAGCTCAATTTTTAAGAACATTAAAGAATTCCATTTATAGGTTTAACAGAGCTCTGTATAATCAGTATTCCCATATATAACCTAACTTTCTTTTGTTGCAAGGAAAATACACCCCCCTCTATTAAAGGAGAGAAATGTTAAAATTACATTTGACTCTCGGGGATTTTGAAGGACAGCTGACAAAAATTAGAAATACTCTTAACTGCTTAAATAGAAGAAATTGTGAATCAATAATGACTTCTTTATTCATTAGCATCTCTTACCCACTGCCTTCCATCTCCAGATGGAAGTGGCTGTTGAAGTGCAAAGTATGTAATAAATAATGTGTATTTCAATGTAGATCACTTGACAAATCATTAAAATACTGGCATCTCTAGGGAGGAAGATGCCTGCCACTTAAACAGGCACTTGATCAGTCTTACAGTAGATGTGAAGTGAAAGAGAGAAAAGATAAAGAAGGAAAAATATGGGGTTTTTTGGCAATGATCAAAGCAATTTTAAGTGCATAGCTCCCTGTAAGTTTGATAATCACAGTGAATGAGTGCCTCAATTTTTTTATCTTTACCCCCTCCATGCCTCACACTCCCCAAACAAGATTATGTCCATATATGTGTCAGGGCAACAACTTACACCTTTTTCAGTGGGAAGAAATGCTGCTCTCTGAATCCATACTGTAATTCCATAGTCTCATGGGTTACCCTTGGTCTCTGATACTGGTCCAGTTCCACCCTGTTCACTTTGTGCAGTCTAGTGAAGGCAAAAATCATGGAGACGTGGCTTGGACAGTCATAGTGCCTTGGGATGGAGAAACTTTTTTGTCTTTTTCTGATTTCTCAGTTTGCAGACATCCCAAAATGCATTAGATTATACAGGAAGTGAATCGCTGCTCTGGGGTGATCATATACCACGCAAACAAAATAGCATGTCACTGCTGTAGCAGTACTTTTAGGACACATTGGTGTGCTTCTGTACATTTATTTTTTTGTCTCCCAGAACATCTTCAGCTTGCTCACGCCATTTTAAAAAATAAATTCACAGATACAAGCCTGTCCCCTCACATGGAAGCTTACTTGTTCAAGTTAGGCTGTACTGTACTGTTGTCAGCAGAGTCAAACACTCTTGGTGTTTTCAACCCATTTGAAAAGTTTTTACTTCTCTGTTGGACTGTCTAAAACGATACATGACAAAGTTTTTGGTCATGAATGGAAAGAAAAAATAAATTATCTGTGTTAACAGTGCAGCAGTAAAATAATCCAGTCATGTTATAGTGGTACCTGTCAAGGACTGAGAGTATCAAAACTGCTCGAGAAAATATCTGTAAGTGTTAAACAGTGATTATCCCCAACTCCTATTTTTTTCTCTTGTCTCTCCCTTACACTAAAAAAAGTGGTTCAGCACTGGCTCTGTGCCCCATTAGATTAGAGTTCAAGACATTAATCTTTTCCTCAGGCTTTCTTTCATATGTTAAACTAGTTTCTTCACATATTTTTAAGACATATATTTGGGTGGATTTTTTTTCCTCAGATCAGAAACATGCTTTGATATATTACAGCAACAATAAAACTATAAAAACCTAACTAACTCTTCATCATTATTATGGGCCTAGTAATGTGTATTACCCCCCAATTTTATTGGTATCTGTCCAAGACTGAAGCATAACTTAATATAAGCTTCACCCTGCTTCACTCTGGCGTGCCATAATCTGGTGAAAATTAAATTGTATGGAATCCAGGTCCTATGCCATTTAACTTACAGAGCATTTTATTTCAGCTGTCTTTTGAACAGTTCCCAGGCTAGTTCATTACGACTGCTTCTTACAACTGCTCATGTTCCTTCTGGTAATGTATTCTGCAAAGCCTTCCACATATCATGGAAATCTAAAGTTTCAGTTCCCTCTGAGGCCAACATCTGTTTGTGCAATATTGCAGTAAAAGTATAGCTGTATTTTCCTTGTGTTAAGAAAGTATGGGTGAACAGGGCTTGATCAAGCAAAATAATAAAATACTTGCTTAAAAAAGAGACAAGTAACAAAGCAACAAAGAAATCATGAGTGATGGGTCAGGTCTCCTACTCTGACCAAGGAGTCCTGTGTGTGGCCTTTCCCAAGTCATTAATTGGACTTTATCTTATTTCAAAGCCTTTGAATAAAAAGTTTGTTCTGTTTTACTTACTGTAAAATTAGATGTGTGCTTTCACAGGCATATTCTGGAAAAGATACTTCTTGTTTCTAGCACTGAAAAAGAGTCAACTCTTCAGATTTCAGCTTTCAGTATTGCATAGTTTGTCAAGGGTTTTGCTGCCACACTGCCCACAGCTATCTGTGGCTTACAAAGTCTGCAAAGCACATTTCCCCCAGGGAGTGACTTCTCCAATGGCAAAACCCACAAAATGTCATCAGAGCAACACATGCATAATGTAACTTGTGAAAGGCAAAGCTTGGAAAGCAGTGATTCTTTGTGATATATTGAAATGGGTGTAATAGGCAGCAAGAGCAGCACCCTGGCCTGTTCTGTCCCTCTCCAAGTTCCCTTAAGATCAATATTGAAGTTGCAAAGACAGTTTGAGGCAAAGAGCACAGTGTTCATTCACAGTTTTAGTGTTCTGCCATTCATAAACTGCAACAGAAAGGAGGAAAATAGGTGTTGGAGGGGAAAGAGAATTAGCTGGCAATAAAGACAGCCATCACTGGCAAAGGGAGAGTGTGGATGTAATAAAAAATAGAAACCTTCTGTGTCACCAGTGCCCTGAGATCAGCTGTCCTTGGTGGTGCGTATTGATCTGTGTGGGGTGTGCTTGTGTGGTAGTGAGGTTGTGTCTCCTCTGCCCACCTCAGGTGCTGTAAGAACAATCTGAGGTGTCACAGCAACTTGAAGTCTCCTCTGCTGTTACAATTTGATGTTGCCAGTAAGCCCCAATACAATATACTGGACAGAAAACAGGATTCAGCTGCATCATGATTGTATAAAAAGCAGATTTAAGCAATGTGAAAAGGATTCTTTTATAGCCTTATTAATAGTGAAGGGGAAAGGAAATTGGATAATAGTTCTAGAAGTCTCTTGTAACTGAGGCAGTTACAAGGAAGGACAAAATCTTTCCTTATGACCACTGCAGTTGAAAATATGGGCTTCTTTATCAGGCTCTGAGTAGGTCTTACAGTTAGTATCATTTTGCTTCCAAAGTCAAATCCTTTCCAATTCTTCTGATCTGAAAAGTAAGCATTTACTATTAAATAACATTTCTCAGTCCCACCATGCAGCAGCATAACATCTTCAGCCATTCAAAGCAAATTGCATTTCTCTAGGTGCTTATTCAGTAGTCTGACTAGACTTCAATAACTTTGAATTTCCTTTTTTTTTACTAACTGTAGGTTCTCATCAAAGTGTTGGATAACAACGATAACGGCCCGGAATTCTCTCAGCCAAGTTACGATGTCACCATTTCAGAGGACATCCTCCCTGATACTGAAATTCTGCAAATTGAAGCTATAGACAGAGATGAAAAGCATAAGCTGAGCTACACCATTCACAGCAGCATCGATACAGTCAGCATGAGGAAGTTCAGAATTGATCCCAACACCGGGGTTCTCTACACGGCTGAGAGATTAGACCACGAAGCTCAAGATAAGCACATCCTTAATGTCATGGTAAGAATGCAATATTCCCTTGGGTCTGGCCACAGTCATGGCTGCTTCAGGTACAGACATGGAGTGGTCTTCACTTGAGCAAAGGACTCAGTGCAGTGAGTAGCCACTAATTTAATCTTACCTGCCCTGCTGTGTGTTTATTTCACAGTTTTTATTTCAGCTTTTTGGGAAATTTTATTGTGAATTCATTGTATGGAATGTGATATGATTCTCTATCTCAAGGGAGAGCAAGCAGGAAATTATTTAATCTCTTGGCATCTGGTCCTCTCCTTCAAGGTAATTTTCATAGTTTCTGAAGTGAGGCTGAAAGTTATTTGAGAAGTTATTCACAGGGAGATAACTGCTTTCTTGCCATGGAGAATGCTACAGCCTTTCTGAATACAAGCTTCATTTATAGCTTACTTTTATGGACTTATTTCAGTACATAAACTGTTGATATACAAAATAGCTTTCTTTTATCGACATTTCCAAATCTTTGGGTATGCAGAAGAAAGTTAATTACCAAGTTTTGCTTGGTGTGCCTGGACTACAGAACATAAATCTGTCTGTTTTCAAGTGGAGATTGTATATCATGGACATTTTTGTTTTAATTAAAAAAACAAACAGAAGACAACCAGCAAAAAATACCCAAACAACAAATAACATTGTGTTAGTTTAAACATTGTAGTCCACTACTTCCTTTAATCACTTAAGACTTCTGCAGCAGATGCCCTCTAAGGAACTGCTCATGGTGTGTTAGGTCCAGGGGAAGCTTTGGCAGGGCACCCTAGAATGCAAAAAGCTGCTGTGAAATGCAGAAAGATCAAGCTGAGTGTGGTCTCCACTCACAGAGTAAAATATTGCAAGTCCTTTGACGAGCAGACTGAGAAATAGCTATAAACTGAGTCACAGAAACACTTGGCTAAGAGAGGTAATTCCCTGGTGCTTGGTTTTGATCTTCACCTTATACAACAGGTCTTTTCCTCTGTTTACGAAGAACTAAAATGTTGGGGAGATAGCGGTAGCAGGATTATCAGTGAAGTAGTGCTGAGGTATTTTGGATGGGGTTGAGACAGGTGTGGTAATTTACATCTCTGTTGACAGCTACCAGCACTTCATAAAGCAATTCCTGCTCCATTTACTGTTCACATGATCATCTACGTGTATAATCATGAAGTAGTCCATTGTCAGCTACAAGCACTAGACTGACATGCCTATATGCTGTGAAGAAGGCAGTGGCAAGAAAAAGGCATGACCTTTCAGCAAGTAGTAAAAAAAAAAAAAAGAATTTCTTGTGAACCTCAACCCAAATTTAAGTTGCCACTTCAGAAATTCATGTCATGATGGTTAGCTGCAATGCATTTTTTCACAAGAGAAAAAAAAAAAGTCGCTAAGCTCCTTCCTGTTTCTCTGATTTTAGTATCTGCTATCCCATGTGTGAATGTATTTCTGACTGCTCTTTGGGACAAATGGATTTTTTTACTACCTTGTATTAAATAAAACTGAAAGTAGTATTCACACTCAGATGAGTAATATTTGTGAAGTTTTGCTAGATGACTGTCAAATTGTGTGTTATGAACTTGTTCTATAGGTTCGAGATCAAGAATTCCCTTACAGAAGAAACCTGGCCAGAGTCATCATAAATGTGGAAGACTCCAATGACCACAGTCCCTACTTCACCAGCCCATTGTATGAAGCCTCAGTGTTTGAATCAGCAGCAGTTGGCTCAGCAGTGTTGCAGGTCACGGCTCTGGACAAAGACAAAGGAGAAAATGCAGAGCTTATCTATACTATTGAAGCAGGTTAGGACAGAGGCCAAAAATGAAGTACCATGAATTGTGCCAGACACAGAACAGTGATGTGATGGTGATCTGTGTTGACACACAGTTCAGCTTCTTTGGTCTACTTTCTCCTGTACAGATGGGCAAAGGAGTTGTTTCATTTGGGTTTTTTTTAATTCTTTTTTTTTGACACTACTGTACTCAAAACCTGTCAGAACAAACTCATTCTGGAATAGGTTGCCTCTGAGAGGTTATGGAGTCTCCTCTGGAGACATTCAGAACCCCACAGGATCCTGTGCAGCCTAGGTGAACCTGCCTTAGCAGGAAGGTTGGACCAGATGCTCTCCAGTGGTCCCTTTCCAGCCCAGCCGTTCTGTTATTCTGTGACTGAGTCATTTTCAACAGATGGCTACAGAGCCTGCTACCTCTGAGTCATTGGGTCAAGGCCATCATGGAAGATAGTTGCTCAAAACTGCAGCCAGTGACTTGTTTTCAGGGTTCTGTTTTCAGACTAGTGTACAGTGGATCCTCCATAAAAAAATGCCAAAACAGCTGTTATGTCCTGACATCTTTGCCAGTATTCAGACCACAGGAGCACAGAAGCTAAGAACAGGACTATGCTAAAACTTCTGCCAGAGCATTTTAATGGCACAAGGTCTCTTGAAACTAACTAGCTAACTAACTAACTAACTAACTAACTAACTAACTAACTAACTAACTAACTATCTGATACCAGATAAAAATTACTTTTGCTGTTAAACTGTGGATATTTACATTCAGCACACAGTCTGTACCAGCAAAAGCATTCTTCTTCAGGTGCAACAGCACACTAGTAAAACATTTGCATTATCACTGACATACATGCAAGTGAATTTAAGTTTCTCTGGGTCACATGAATCAGAAGAATTATCTTTGAGATAAACCATTGACAGATATATAAGAGGGGGGTGCCTGGAAAAAGAGAGAAAGAATTAGAAATTTGTAACCTTAGCATTTTGTAATGTTTCATTTCTGCTTAAAGAGCTTGATTCATAGTATGAATCTTTCCACTGTAATACTAGCAAAACTTGAAACTTATATTGCCATAAAAAGAAGTTACAGGTACTTCAGATTGCACTCACATTAGGCAGATCACAAGCCTTTCCTGGCATTAGTGTCTCATCCTACTGCATCATTATTTATCCCTATATTATAAAGACTTGTTACTGGCTAGGATAGCTTATGTCAATTAGGAACAGGCTAAGAGACAAATAACTAATGAAACAAGAGTATCTACACTGTCTCATACTGATTTAGCTTCATATCATTCAAACTCACACCTTAAATTAAGATGATATAACCTGAAGTTTAGAGAAGGCCCAAGGAACATTTTTTCTGTCATTACCTTGTATGCTCTGTGGAAGGAGATTACCTTCAGCAAACCAGCACGTGAAATCTTTTGCAGCTGAAAGTGCTGAACTTAGAATGAGGAAGATGTTAGCACTCCAAATAATTCCTTTATGCCCTGCATTTGGTCTGAGCAGTTATTTCTCAGTATTCTCCAGTGGTCTTTAACTTAAATTAGAGGTAATCTTACACGTGCCCAGACAGGACAGCGCTGTGCCTTATGGAACAAATTCTGAGCCCACTGGATCAGGTTTTTGGGGCAGTGTTTTTCAAGATTATTTCCAGCTTTTTCTTGACACCTTATTACTATTATGTGTTCCAAATCGTCTGGAGGTGCCACCATAATGTAAAGAGCATCCTGACATCTAAGGACTGTAGTTCCCATTACACTGGTAATAGAATCCTACATGATGCAGACAGAAAAATACTGTGATTAGAAAAGATGCTTTAGCTATTAGATGATTTCTAGAGACTCTCTTTTTCATTACAGCCTGTTTATGTTTCCTCATGAGCTCTCTCTGCAATGTCAGACCTCAGGCTTCCATTTACTCACACTCCAGGCCTCACACTCCTCCAGTTTCATTATCCACAGATGTCCCAATCTCAGATGCATCAAAATTCAGTATTCTGCTGCTGTAGTTTCTATGATCCATAAAACGTGCAGTTGAGGATATTGATTTTAACTGCAGAATTCAGGATTGTACACAGCCCTCTGATTCAGGGGAATTACTCACCTTACCTTACATTGCTCTGCAGAGAGCAATTGGTAAAGAAAGTAGTTTTTGTGTAATTTCATAAGAAATTCCTAAAGGAGAAGAACCAGCTCTGGCCTTGCAGGAGACATTCAGTGGCTCAAAATTATTCGTATTAGCAAGCACTGACAAAATAACAGCAGCGGCATTTGTAGTGTCTGTAAATGTGACAGATAACCGTGATTTTTATGAGAATTTGTAGCTCTGGAAGAATCTCACCTCCTGGGTGAATAGCACAATTCTTCGTTTAGCTAGCAGAGTAAACTTTACTGATCTGAAAGGAAGAATATAAACAGAAAGCCACTATCAGTATTGAACTACATAGAGTAGTATGTAGCTTAAATTAGCCTCCAGAATTTACAACAGGTAGTGAATCATATCTTAAAAATAGTTCACATTACCTCACTTCATTTAGGATTCCATGCATTTGGCATTCCAGCTGCAACTTACACATTTACTGCTCTGTGCACAATACCTGTAACAATTGCTATTAAAAAAAACAACCCTCTTTTGTATCACCTGAGATATATTTCTCTCCCAGCCTTGATTGGATGCTTGACTGTAGATTGGAAACATTTCTGGATTTTAAGAATTAATTACAATAGAGGAAACATGGTATAGTGACTGAAATCACTGTAACTCAGTATAAGCTTTTTGCATTTAGAATCAAATTCAGAAAAAGAGTCTGTATGCTTATATATGCCATATATATATGTAGCAAGCACTCAGTAAAACAGAAAAATAAGGATTGCCAATTAAAGATGATTTCTAATTACAGGGTAAGAATACATACAGAAAGTTTTGAATGTGTCTTGCTGAAGAAGAGATTGGCAAAATGACCAGAAAGAAATAAAGGCCCCAAAAAGTTCTCTGATCCAAACTTACTGTTTTCACCTTTATGCAGTCAGTGATATCTGTGCTTTCACATTGTAACAGGCATTTCATGACATTTTCTGCTAAATCTCATTCATCTGCATTCATCCTCCTCAGAGATCATATGATAAACCTTCATGCCACAAGACACTTGAATCTCTTTTCTATGCTATTTGCTCTATTTTATTTTTTCTAAATGCCACTTTAACCTTTTTATATTCAGTTCTTTGAGTCTTGAACTACTGTAATCTCCTGTATGGTTTCTTAATATCCCATTCAATTAGGAGCCTGAGTTGTTATCCGTTAGTCATGTAATTGGCTTGTTAGCCTCTGATCTCATTTCTTTGCCTTAGGTGTACATGTATTTGACTAATTTCTGTAATTTAGGGATGCATTTTCTTACTTCAGTAGGAGTAAAGTACATGCAGTTCTTGCTCAGAGGCTGGTACTGAGAATCAAGGTAGAGGTAGCAACACCTGAGTTTCTGATGCTTTGAATACCTATACCATCTACTGAGCTCTCTAGGAGAAAAATAGTCTGGAAAGGCCTTTAGAATACTTCAAGATTGGGGTTTTCTTGGGGTTTTTTTAAGTAACTGCCTTTAAAAATGCAACTTGTTGCTCCTGGTTTAAGTTATCATCAAGTGAGTGTTTAATTTCTAATCTCATTCCAATATTTTTGTTTTAGGAAACACAGGAAACACATTCAAGATTGAACCAGTTTTAGGCATCATTACATTACTCAAGGAGCCAGACTTAACCACAATGGGACAGTTTGTTTTGTCAGTCAAAGTGACTGATCAAGGTTCTCCAGCGCTGTCTGCAACAGCAATTGTGCGGATATCTGTGACAATGGCCGATAACTCTCACCCTAAGTTCACTCTAAAAGAATACCAAGCAGAGGTTAATGAAAATGTGGATATTGGTACTTCTGTCATTTCTCTTGCTGCAATCAGTCAGTCCACGTTAGTTTACGAGGTTAAAGATGGCAATGTTGATGGAGTCTTCACTATAAACCCGTATTCTGGAGTGATCACCAGTCAAAAGGCCCTTGATTATGAACGTGCTTCCTCCTATCAGCTCATTGTACAGGCAACAAATATGGCAGGCATGGCATCAAATGCCACTGTGAACATTCAGATTGTTGATGAAAATGATAACCCTCCAGTTTTTCTCTTCTCTCAGTACTCGGGCAGCATAAGCGAAGCTGCTCCTGTGAACAGCGTGGTCCGGAGTGCAAATAACAGTCCCCTTGTGATACGTGCCACCGACGCTGACAGCAACCAGAACGCTTTGCTTGTCTACCAGATTGTTGAATCCACTGCAAAAAAGTATTTCACGGTAGATTCCAGCACAGGTGCAATCAGAACAATTGCAAACTTAGACCATGAAACGATAGCCCACTTCCATTTCCATGTTCACGTTAGAGACAGTGGGAATCCCCAGCTTACTGCAGAGAGCCCAGTTGAAGTGACCATTGAGGTAACTGATGTCAATGACAACCCACCAGTCTTCAGCCAGGCTGTATTTGAGACAGTCTTGCTCCTGCCCACATACATTGGTGTTGAGGTTCTCAAAGTCAAAGCTTCAGACCCTGATTCAGAGATCCCTCCAGAACTAACATTTAGTATAATTGAAGGCAATATGGACCATTTTTTAATTGACTCAAGCACAGGGGTACTCACCATTAAAAACAATAGTCTCTCCAAAGACCATTATATGCTAATAGTAAGAGTATCTGATGGGAAATTTTACAGCACTGCTATGGTGACAATAATGGTAAAAGAAGCTATGGATAGTGGACTCCATTTCACACAAAATTTTTATTCCACTTCGATCTCAGAAAATAGCACCAATATCACAAAGATTGCTGTGGTGAATGCTGTTGGCAACCGCCTCAATGAGCCTTTGAAATACAGCATATTAAACCCAGGAAACAAATTTAAGATCAAATCCACCTCAGGAGTCATTCAGACCACTGGTATCCCCTTCGACCGAGAGGAGCAGGAGCTGTATGAGTTGGTGGTGGAAGCAAGCCGTGAGCTAGATCACCTCCGTGTCGCTCGAGTGGTGGTGAGAGTTTACATTGAGGACATAAATGACAATGCCCCGGTGTTTGTAGGGCTTCCGTACTACGCTGCTGTGCAGGTCGATGCTGAACCTGGTACCCTGATATATCGAGTGACAGCTATTGATAAAGACAAGGGTGACAATGGTGAGGTGTCATACCTGTTGAAGGAAGACTATGGACATTTTGAAATTGATAGAGGATCTGGTAGCGTCACTTTAAAAGAAGCCTTCAATACTGATTTGTCTAATATAGAGTACTTGGTCGTCATTCTTGCCAAAGATGGTGGTAACCCATCGTTGTCTGCGTCGGTAGAGCTACCCATTACGATTGTTAACAAAGCAATGCCTGTGTTTGACAAGCCCTTCTATACAGCTTCCGTGAATGAAGATGTAGAAATGCACATGCCAATTTTAAGCATAAATGCAACCAGTCCAGAAGGCCAGGGTATCATTTATATCATTGTTGATGGAGATCCCTACAACCAGTTTAATATCGACTTTGATACTGGAGTTCTGAGTGTCGTCAGCCCACTGGACTATGAAATAAATTCTCTTTTCAAGCTGATGGTGCGAGCCAGCGATGCTCTCACTGGCGCTCGCGCTGAGGTAACTGTGGACTTGATTGTTAATGATGTTAATGATAATCCTCCAGTTTTTGATCAGTCAGCTTATAATGCTACTCTGTCCGAAGCTTCTTTGATTGGAACTCCTGTACTGCAGGTTGTTGCTACTGATGCTGACTCTGACAATAACAAGATTGTACAATATCAGATAGTCCAGGACACCTTTAACAGCACTGACTATTTCCATATAGACAGCAGCAGTGGCCTAATTTTGACAGCCCGGATGCTGGATCATGAACTCATACAGCAGTGCAGCTTGAAAGTCAGAGCAACCGATAATGGGTTCCCACCTCTGAGCAGTGAGGTTCTCGTTAGTATCTCAATAACAGATATGAATGACAACCCTCCAGTTTTCAACCAGTTAATATATGAATCATATGTGAGCGAACTGGCACCTCGGGGTCATTTTGTGACTTGTGTCCAAGCTTCTGATGCCGACAGCTCTGATTTTGACAGGCTGGAGTACAGCATCCTATCAGGAAATGATCGGACCAGTTTCATTATGGACAGCAAGAGTGGTGTTATCACCCTTTCCAACCATCGCAAGCAGAGGATGGAGCCCATGTACAGCCTAAACGTCTCTGTGTCAGACGGGCTGTTCACCAGCACAGCTCAGGTGCACATACAGATCCTTGGGGCCAACCTCTACAGCCCTGTGTTTTCACAGAGCATTTATGTTGCAGAGGTTAGAGAAAACGCTGCTCCTGGAACGAAGGTAATCCACGTGAAGGCAACCGACGGGGATTCCGGTGTATATGGCCAGATCAGCTACTCCATAATAAATGACTTCGCCAAGGACCGATTCTTGATTGATGCAAATGGGCAGATTCTGACAACTGAGAGGTTAGACCGTGAGAACCCGCTGGAACGTGATATCGATATATTCTTGAGAGCCCTTGATGGAGGTGGCAGGACTACATTTTGCACTGTGAGAGTGATAGTAGTGGATGAGAATGACAATGCTCCCAAATTTATGACAGTCGAATACAGAGCAAGTGTCAAAGCAGATGTTGGGAAGGGTTACTTGGTGACCCAAGTGCAAGCAGTAGATCTAGATGATGGAGCCAATGCCAGAATTACCTATTCTCTGTATAGCGAAGCCTCAGTTTCAATAGCTCATCTGCTTGAAATAGATCCAGATAATGGATGGATGGTCACCAAGGGTAGCTTTAACCACCTGAAAAGCACTGTTCTGTCATTCTTTGTCAAAGCAGTTGATGGTGGCATTCCTGTAAAACATTCCCTCATTCCTGTCTACATCCATGTTTTACCGCCAGAAACCATTTTGCCTTCTTTTTCTCAACCCCAGTATTCTTTCACCGTGGCAGAAGACACACTCATAGGCAGTACTATTGACATTCTGCATGTTTTGCCCAATCAAGGTGCTTTGTATAGTACAGTTAATGGTGAGCTACCTGAAAACAACAAAGATGGGGTTTTCATCATAGAGAAAGAAACAGGGCTTATAAAATTGGATAAGAGACTTGACCACGAAGTAAATCCCGCCTTCCACTTCAAAGTTGCAGCCACAATTCAGTTAGACAAAGTAGACATTGTGCTGACTGTGGATGTGGAGGTGAAGGTGTTGGATGTAAATGACAACAAGCCTGTGTTTGAAACAGCTAACTATGATGCTATAATAATGGAAGGGATGCCCATAGGAACAAAACTTATGCAAGTCAAAGCGGTTGATGCAGACTCAAGTGCGAATGGGCAGGTCATGTACACGCTTGCAGTGGAATCGGAGCTGCAGAAGATCACAGAAGCATTCACCATTGATAGCAACAGTGGCTGGATCAGTACACTGAAGGATCTGGACCACGAGAAGGATTCTGCTTTCACCTTTGCAGTTGTGGCCTCAGATCTGGGGGAAGCTTTGTCCTTGTCCTCAACCACCTTGGTCTCAGTCACTGTGACAGATATAAACGATAATGCACCCGTCTTTGAGCACGAGGTGTACAGAGGGTCAGTGAAGGAGAGTGACCCTCCAGGGGAAGTTGTGGCTGTTCTTAGCACCTGGGATGAAGACACATCTGATGTCAATCGGCAGGTTAGCTACCATATTACAGGTGAGAAACAGCTTGCATGCTTTCTTCCCATTACCAGCTTAGTGAAGAACTGTGCATGTGTCCAGTTCTAGGTGAATATTTAGCAGGGTTTCAGCTAAATTATCACTGTGAATGAGCCAGTTACATTCCTTTTTATTTTTTTTTGACAGCATTTGCAGAAAAGCTGTAAAGAGGTGATGTGTGTGTGTGTCTGTCTTTATGTGTGTTACTCTCAATTTTCCATTTTGCACAGATTTGCTTCAGTGCAATGTAGTATAGCCATCAACCCATCATAATTGATATGTCAGCTTGAAAACCATCATGACTTAATGTTTCAAACAAGGGAAAAGGAAAATTTTCTTCTTACAGAGAAAATCCTTTTACTTCCAAGCATTTAATTTTTTTTTTTAAATAACATTTTTCTTTTTGAGATAGGAAAGTAGATGCCAGAGCCATTTTGAAATACCACTATTTGGAATGGGGTGGAGGTGGGGGCACAAATGAATTTTACATTATGGAGTGAGGGGATGCCATTTCTTATTAGCACAGATTTCTGGCCAGGGAAATAGTAATATACTTAGAACCACTGGTTAGCTGCCATGCATTGTTATATACAGCATAATAACATGATTACATTACTAATACATTTTTCAAAGCATGGTAATGCTGTTCTTTCCTATTGTGTAATATTTATTATCATTCTTTTTTCCTAGATTCAGCCTGGCTTTGTGTAAGTACGTTATGAGTGATGTGTGCTGCAGTTATTTTTCTCATTCCATCTTGCATTGTCCAATAGATTTTGTTAAGGAACAAATTTTTCACTCCCCCCAATCTTAGCAATTCAAGAGCTAGTATTAACTACCTAGTAATAACCAAATTATTGGAAAAATTCATATTTTTCTCACTAGATGGGATTCAACATATATAAGACTGCATGTAGGAAGCAGGCTGTGGGGGAAAATTACTTAACTAATGGGAAAACAGTTTTTGTATTTTGCTCTGGAGGATAAGGCTCCTACCCCTTTGTTAGGTATCAAAATGGAAGTGGCTGTGGGATGGTGTGTAGGGAGAGATGTGACACTCCAGTTAGCCACAGACTGCCTGTGTTACACATCACAAGTAGCATCCTTTTCAAAGCAACCAGAAATTTGTTGATTAATTGTAACTTGAAATTTTGGATTCACTTTAAAGGTTTGTAAAGACTATGTGTTTACAGTGTAATGTGTTGTAGGATATTAGAAATAGGGGCAAAAGTAGTCCTGTGTGTAAATGTCAGTATTTAGAGGCTCTGGGCAAGGTGCATTAGCTGCCAGTAGCCCATTTCCCACATCTGTAAATCAGTAGTGCCTCATAATAGAGATTTTGGGATATTTGAAGTAGCAGTGTAGAAAGGACTATGGGAAATGAAAACCCTTAGGTTTGTAACAAAGATATGTTAGTGTGCTGTGATCTTTGGCTTTGTTGTGAAGTCTGGCAGTCATCTCTTACAATGAATTATGTCTTTCATAGTTACATAGTTACATAGTGTTTTTTCTTCACATACCTGTGCTGTTAATTTAGTAAAAACTGGACTTTTGAATAATAACTGTCAGTTTTGACTCATAGATCATTCTGTACCTTGGTTTCTGTCACAGTTCAAAATATGACAGGTATTTTGCTGCTCTGTTAGCTTCTGAAAACATTAGATTTCAAAGCCCAAAACTTTCTCAATGTACAATTACTAAAGCACATGGGCTCAGAAATTCCACTTTCTTTGAATATATCATTTGAGCTTGGGAAATGCGCAAGGAGAAATTAGGTTCTTTTGATTAAAATGTCAAAACATGTTAAAATACAGTTTTACTCACAAAATAATCTATTCACACTTTACCTCAAGTTGATCTCAGGAAGTGGGCTTGAGTATTTCATGGAATCAAATTAGCTAGATGATTATTCAAAAGCGGTGGCTTTCTGGAGGCATTTTGATTCATAGAAACTTCTGTGAATACAGCAAACTCTAAGTAAAAACAGTACATTAATAAAAAGGAAGAAGAAAAAAAATTATGGGACTGTCATGTGGATCCACCAAAAACAGCTTTGTGAAAAGGCATCTGCAGTAAAGTAGCACATAGAAGATAGAGAGATACAGAGAGGGAGAGAGAGAGAGAGAGAGAAAGAGAGAGAGAAAGGAAGGAAGGAAGGAAGGAAGGAAGGAAGGAAGGAAGGAAGGAAGGAAGGAAGGAAGGAAGGAAAGGAAATCTCATTATTTAGAAGATAAGAGATAATCATTCTGGGGCAAATGTGATCACTGAAGAGGCTTTTGTGCTCTTTTGAGAAATACAAATGCCTATTGCACTTTTCTAGTCAATCTTGAAAAGGAGTAGATACATTTGGGTGGATAAATCTGCTTGGATTTCTTCAGTTTATGATTGTGTTCCATGATTACTGGCAAGTAGTTGCCATTGTTGAATCCACCTTCATTTGCATTTGATGGCAAGGGGAAAAAATTTAGCACTTACTCTTTGTTATTTGTAGTTTAGTAGCAGCTGGAGATGTTCACAAAACAAAAGCACTATACATAAATCTTAATAGAAAATCAATAGGAAGGGCAGATGACACAAATGCACTTAGGAAGCACTGTCGTTTTCTTTTGAAGGCTCATTTGAGATCATTGCCTATATCATTTGAGGCAGTTTGTCTAAAACCAGGGCTCTTCTGATATATAGCCAACCCACACCCAGCCAAATATTACTGAGATTTAGGAGTGGCAAGCCATGAAAACCCACCAGAAAAATGTCAGCTGCCAAGGCATTGGTACAGTAAAGTGTTTTGTGTTCCTCAGTGAGGTTAATTAGGCTTCATCAGGTACATAAAGCTAGGGAGTCAATAGTCTTTAAGCTTGGTTCAGCAGAATACAAGGAAGATGGACAGTGTGTTTTGGAAGAAAGAAGTTGTATACACTAGGTTATTTGCTGGGTTGATTACCCAGTATGAGCAAAGGTCTAGCTTTTGTCAGTTTTTGTCATATATTTGAGATACTGGGATTCTGGAGAAATTGATATTTCAGTGTTTGGGAAGGCCTTGTGTTGCCAGATGAAGAACAGTTTCTGCAATTTTATGGTAGTAAAGCTAAGAGGATTGGATTTATCATTTCAGAAGCTCAATAAACATGCAGCATCTTAAACTGGAAGTGGAGGATAAACCTATTGATTTTGTGTGATGCAAATGCCTGGAGTTCTAACTGGGAATTGAAAGTACCTAAATAAATGCATAAATGTAAGACAGAAGCTAAATAAATAAGTTAGTAAATATTCAGTTCCCCCTCCCATATGGGGGCATTGCAGTGAAAACTGATACTGTTGGCTTCTAGTTTCCCATTCCCTTTTAGCTGCTATAATGGCCTCTGTGTGTGCTTTAGTAATGATGTGTGTCAGGATTTGTTTATTTTGGATCACTGTGTCTCTGCATTTCATTTGTATCTGGCTGTTTTCTTTCTTTACTTAAACTTGAGCTTGATTTGGCTTTGTACTATTTGCTGACTAGGGAGGGAGGGAGAGCATTATTTAAACTTCAAGTAACAAAAGATAAAAGATACTGCTGATTCTTTCAGCCTCAAAGCCTTTCTAAAAAGTTACTGGAGTGTTTTTTGTAGCTAGCACTTCACTGTTGTGACATTCAAAGTAGAACATAAGAAAACTGCCAAAAGATTTTAAAGAATCCATTAATACATGTAGTCAGGAGGCTTCCGTTTAGAAAAGCTACATTATTCAGAGTGAAAAACTAATTAATTAGAATGCCCCTAGGAAACTGAATCTGCTTGCATATATTAGTGAAAAAGTTAATTAATCACTGCAGAACGAGATCTGCATCAAGACATATGTATAAGTACTAGGGAATGATTTCCTGGGCCACAGTGTGCATTTTTTTGCCTTTCTATTTTTAAGAATGTTTTCTGGTGGTGTTTTTAGTTTTATATCTCATTATTTTACTTACACTTTATAGTTCACCTTTGCTCTCTGTCAGAAAAGTATAGAGCCAGTCCTGAGAAGCAAAAAAAAGAAACAAAAGTGCTAATGAAAAAGACATGCAGATAAACCCTATTCCTGCTTCTTGCACAGGTTTCTTGGTCATTCAGATTGAATCTTTTCTAGTGGAGTAAAGGAGAGGAAAAGAAATCCCGAGGACCATTTTTTAATACATATTCCCCAAATTCCTAGGTATGATTTAAAAGCCTTTCCATTAGCAACAAAGCAACAGTAATTTTAAAATTGCTCCAAGGTAGTGTTACTGCTAACGATAAAAGCCACCAGCTGATTTTAATTAGATTTTACCTTTCCTCTTTTCTTAGCAATGGGATGCCCATACCTTGAGTGTATTGCTTTCTAGTTGGTCAGGACAGTTAATCATTTCCTTTTACAAAAGGACTAATATGCAGGAAAGCTCTGATTAATATCATGAAGCAAAATAAGAATATTTAAGACTACTTTTATTAATGGTTTACAACATTAAACTCACTATGACAAGATTACAGCCTTTTATAAAAGAGAGTTAAGCTTTTTTTATGCTGGCATTGAACTGAATAAAAGGAATTTAATGTCAGTCAGCAGGGGTCTGCCTTCTTTGAAGTCACATTCAGGCTCAAGTCAGTGGACAGATTCTGATATCCTTGGATTGTATTCAGATCTGGCCAGCAGTACACATCAACACTCTGTGTAACCCTCTTTATGAGAAATGTGTGTTTATATGACACAACAGATTAAATAATGTGTCCTCTGGTGATTATCCCAGACTGCCATAGAAATCAGTGGGAAAACTGCTCAGTTTTGTGATCAAAAAGGGTGGTTCTCTATCAACAGAAAATATCTGTATTTGATACATAAGTTTAGTGTTCTGTATGATTCAAAATCCTTTCATAATTATAATGCCTATCTGACTAATTTTCTTGAAATCCTATTCATTACAACTTGCTTTTTTTGGCACAGTCACAGCTAGCACAAATGGTGACTCTTAACAAGAAAGATTTGCTCAGCCTGACTCAACTGACTTAGTTTTAGTATTAAATAGAAACCAGTCTATCTTGTCACTGGTAACTAATGAAGAAGGCACAGATTATGGCCTGTGACCTCTTTCCTGCTTTTTGATGTAGAAAGAAGGTATGGAATGGACGTTAGACTTTTTTGATTGGTTTTAAGCTCAACTTCAAGTTCAGACCTTCTCTTGTTATTTTGACCAAAAGGTCCCTGAGAACTGACAGAATTATGACAACAGAAGCAACATCAGAGACAGTAATTGCCTGACAACAGAGTCAACACAAATAAATTCAGCTTTGGATTATTTTATTTTTTTTTTTAATACTTACTTATGCAATCATTCAGTGGAAGTACTAGAGGGGAAGGTTTAAGAACCTGGTCTTTCCATTCAGCTTGTATAGATCCTGTGACACATGTCAGAACCCTGATTAATTTGTAATTTGTAAGGAAATGTACATTAGCATGTTTGACATTCTTGTGTGTTATGAGAAAGAATAAGCATTTCCTTAATAGTTTTACAGCACTTTTAAACATGAGCAACATGGAAAGTAGTTCTCAGCTGGAATTCTTGCATGGAGACCATAGGAGAAAGCTTAATATGGTGGGCAAAGGGCTAGTAGTGGGTTAGCTGCAATTACAGTTCAGCCAGTGGAGCATCCTGGTGCTTTTCAATATATCCTCACTCAGTTTCTGTAGCACATGAGTTTGGTATGACTGTAGTGCTCTATCCTTAATTATTAAATGTGCAGTTACGTTTTTACAGGCCAAACTGGGCACAGAGAACTGGGAGGTTGGCTTTACTGGCTTTGGCTAGGGTAGAATTAATTTTATGAGTAGAATCTGCTATTGAGCTATGATTTGGATTTGTGATGTCACAGGAATGTTTTGTTACTGCTGAGCAGAGCTTGCACAGGGTCAAGGCCTTTTCTGATCCTCATGCATCCCAGCAGTGTGGAGGGTGGGGGTGCACAAGGAGTTGGGAGGAGACAGCTGGGGTAGCTGATCCCAACTGACCACAGGGACATTCCACTCCATGTGGCAGCATGATCAGCATATAAAAGCTGAGGGAAGAAGGAGGAAGGGGAAATGTTCAGAGTTAATGGCATTCATCTTCCCACATAATTGTCAGGATGACAAAGCCCTGCTTTCCTGGAGGTATCTGAACACCTGCCATAAATTCTATTTTCTTTTGCTTATACACAGAACTTTTGCTTTAACCATTAAACTGTCCTTGTCTCAACCCATGAGTTTTCTTACTTTTACCCTTCAGTTTCTCCTCCCATTTTCACTGGGGAGGAAATGAGCAAGCAGCTGTATAGGGCAAGCGGAGTAAAGTCATAGCATTGGTTTAAAAGATTTTACTGTCTAGTCTGCCAGAAGGTTTGGATCAGACTCACACAAAGGTGATTGAAGGTGTTTTCTTTATTGACCAGGCAGGAGACTATAGCATTTCAGATAAAAGAGTAAATAACTGAAGAGCAACACTGCCAGGTTCAGTGCCAGTGTTATGGCATGGAAAAAATCTCTTCTGTTTTATCCCCTGCACACCTTTCGCCAGATTTCACTCTTGGATACATTTGATCTATTTGTACTGCTTATCTTCCAACTGTTCCTCAAATGACCTCTTGTTAGGACTATTTAATACTAATGTGTCTTCCTGTGTCGTGTAAACTTCTTTAAAAATGAGAATTTTAATAAGCACAAGAATGGCGCAGCTGTATGATAAAGCTTTCATTAGAGGATTCCTTAATAGATCCCACTTCCAGTCCTTGATTGCATAATCAACAGCTAATGAAATTGTCTTGGTAACAAGAGCTACGGTGTATTACATCCTCTCCCGAGACTAAGTGGAAAGACAATTGTACCAGCCCGAGAGGACTATTGATTGTTCACAGTTTGAATTTGATTACCCTTACGGGGAACTGAACAAGAGATCATCTTCAGCTCTGCTAAATGGATTTTTTTTTCCCCACTGAAAGTTATCGGTTCACTTTCATACAGGGCATTTGTGGGGCAATAAACACAGAAAGTGTAATTTCATTACAGATTTCCTGAGTCTGCAAGTTGGGAAGCACCAACAGCTGTGAAAGAAATGATGGCTGCTTAGTGATATGTCTCTGTGTTTAAACCAGGTGGGAGCTCTGAAGGGAGACACAGCTCATTGTGTGTTGCTTGTCTTATTGCAGGAGGGAATCCCAAAGGGAAATTTGCTCTGGGACTGGTTCAGAATGAGTGGAAAGTTTATGTTAAAAGGCCTCTGGATCGGGAAGAGCAAGACATTTATTATCTGAACATCACGGCCACAGATGGCCTCTTTGTGACCCAAGCTGCTGTGGAAGTGACTGTCACTGATGTCAATGATAATAATCCAGTTTGTGAACAGGTGAGTTAACACCACCCATGGCAACCAGCTGCTGTGTTGAGAGCAATGCTTTCCCTACGGGTGTCTCTTGCTCTTTGCAAGTACTCAAAGTATTCATAGGCACTGCTGATTTTCATTCTTAGTTGAAGAATCTGCAGTGATCTGGGAGAGAGGCAGGATAAAGCATTCCTGTGAAGCCAAGAGTGAAGGATAATAATCTCCTAAAGCTTGCAAAGGAGTCTGGTGCACGGTGCCCTTGTTTGGCTTTACTGCAGATGATGCATTGTGAGGTGGCATTGGGCAGCTACTCCTCCTCTGCAAAAAAAGAGTGTGCTCTTCCTTCGCAACCTATGTGGAAATGTCATCAGTCTAGTTTAACTCCTGCTTTCCTCAACTTTCAAGATACCAGACATCCAGTGGAAAAGGCAGAGGAATGTAGCTTGCTGTCCTGTTGTTGGGAATGTATGCAATGTGGCCTGACCACAGCTTTCAGAGTGTTAGCTGTCTTGTATTCTGTGAAAAGGCAATCCAGGGAACTGATGTTAGTGCAATGGAAAGGTCTGTGTGAAAGAAAAGACATGATAAAACCCAGAGTTCCTGAATGGTACTACTCACAGAAAATATGTATAAATATATATATATATATGTGTATGTGTGTGTGTATGTGTGTATGCATATACTCATGTAATTCCCATCATTACATTATCACTCACTGACGATTACTGTCATTGCAAGAATTACTCTATCACTCTGGGGAATCGCAATCTGTATTTCCCTCAAGACTGCAGGATGAGGTGATAAAAACAATTGTTTCTGTTTGCACACTCATCAAGATTTTCATTTCATAGGTGTCAATTGAATAAACAGAAGATACAAAATGGTATTGCATTAAGCACCTAAGATAAGCCTTATTCGCAGTCATAATTTGACGTTGTTTCTGTGACACCTGAAAGCTTAACTGTGACTCGAATTTCTAGGAACGTGTTGTGTAAAGGAAAATTGTTTCTTGTATAGAAAGATGCATTACAAATAGTTTTTTAAAAAAGGTTTTTCCAAGACTGTAAAATACTGCTACAGCATAGCTTACATCTTTTTTTGACTCTAGGTTGCATATACCGCGTTGTTTCCTGAAGACATTCCACCAAACAAAGTAATTCTCAAAATCAGCGCCAAAGATGCTGACATCGGGTCCAATGGTGAAATTCGCTATTCTCTTTATGGTTCGGGGAACAATAAATTTCTCTTAGATCCAGAAAATGGTAAGAAAGCAACCAAATGTTTCTGAATAGCCTTAACCCCTCTACATCTGGGTACTGATTTCCTTAATTAGAGTTAGGTTACACATGGCTATCAGCCAGTTGTTCCAGTTCTGGTAGATGTGGGTGATCATTTGAATGGTGGTGACAGGAGGGAGAAAGAGGGACATCTCTGTTGGCCAGGTTGGATGCTATAACCAGAACAGTGGATATTGATCCTTTTGTTTCCCTGTACACTTCAAGTTAGATCAGAGGTTTATCATAGAACCACAGAATATTTTGGGCTGGAAGAGAACTTTGAAGGTCATCTAGGCCAAACCCCTTGCCATATGCAGAGTCATCTTCAAATAGATCATGTTGATCAGAGACCCATCCAGTTAAGGTTCCTAGGGCTACCTGTGCCACTGTTTCACCACCCTAATTCTAAAAAATGTCTTCACTTATATCTAGTCAAAATCTACCCTCTTTTAGTTTAAAACGGTCACCCTTTGTCATATCACAGCAGGTACTGCTTAAAAGGACATGTTTCTGTTTTAAGGAGTTTATAAATCCTTGGAGTGACAGAAAGACTGACTTGGAAAAACATGGAGGTGTTCATATGGGTAAAGCTGTAGGCAGCTGTTGCCTACTGTGTCACCATGAACGGCTTGTCATCCCTGCACTCATTGGCACCTCACTTTTGTGGGTAAAGAGGAAGGGGAAGTGGCACTGCTGTGAGTTTTTAATCTGTTCATTGGAATAAGCAGTGTTGATTTGGTTTTCTCTTTCCTATTCCTGTGAAACACGTGGTTTTGAGACACTTAGGCTGTCTAGAATTAGTGATGTTGCTACAATAATAATGATAGCTGCTGCTTTTAAATAATTTCAGGTGAGCTGAAATCTTTGGCCCCTCTCGACCGAGAGAAAATCCCTGCATACAACTTGGTTGCCCGAGCCACTGATGGTGGTGGCAGGTTTTGCCAGTCAGAAATCCATCTTATTTTAGAAGATGTTAATGATAACCCACCAGTGTTTTCATCTGACCACTACACTGCTTGTGTCTATGAGAACACAGCCACTAAAGCTTTGTTAACAAGAGTCCAAGCAACTGATCCTGATGTTGGTAAGTGGATAACATTGCAAAAAATAAATGTTTATGAAAATTCTGTGAAATTCTTGTGGAATTACAATGTAGATTTGCTTTTCTATTGCTAATTATTTCCATTTTTCTCCTCCTCCTTCTTTTTTATCCTCCCCACTTCTTTCTCTTCTCTTTCTTTACATCAAAATGCTTGTGTCTGATCTTGACACAATGGTGTTACAAACAGAAAAGCATTGCAGCAGCCACAGGAGCATGTAGTCTTCTCTTGATCAGCAATAGCTCTGTTTAGGGGGTAAATATCATTTTGGGGCTAAATTGCAACTTTTTTCCTTCAGTGGTCTCACCTCTTTTTTTGAGCCATGATTTTGAATACCCGTGCCTCTGTTTATGCAAATAATATAGTTACATGCCACAGGGACCTATACCTGATTAATCACAGCTTTTCTAGAGTTTTAGACTGCAATAGCTCCCATTTGTTCCAGCTGGTTACTTTAGCATAAAGCTATTGTACACTGTGAATATACATTATAAATGTTCTGGTTATTTAACTGCACATTCTTTGAAAATGTAATAGTTTATTATATGAGGACCTTAGCCTTGAAATATGGGCCCAATTATGAATACTTAAAGGGGAGTATTTTTGCATAATACAGTGGTAAATCCTACTGAATATTAGAAAAAAAAAATTGGTCATTCACTTGAGTTGAAATAAATAACTTTGTTTGTTGTTTTTTTTCTTCCTGTGTTTTTGGAGGTGTTTTGTAGAAACTATGGCCTGAGTAGTTTCATGCAAAATCACGCAGATCTTTCATTCAATGAAAAAAAAATACTTTTTTTTCTGAGTGCATTCTGTAAGTCTCAGTTTTTTGCAAGACTGATAGTTTAGATATACAGGAATTCATAAAGGAGCAGCAAACATTCATTAATGTATCTATGAAGAGCTGCAGTATATGCCATGGTTGAAAACTCACAATTAAAATTATGATCCTCTCCTGCAGTGAAGAGCCAATTACTGGAGGTAAACTACTGAACCATCTGAAGAGACAGTGTTGTTACTTTCCACTGTTGTATTAATTACCATTTTTTCTTGTTCATGTGGTGACATTCAAGGAGAGAGGGGACACAATTAGAATTAAAAGTTGTCAATAAAAGTTCTTGCTAGCACCAACTTTACATAATTAGATGGTTAACAATAAAAAAAAAACAAAACACAAACCATGAGCTAGTTGCTGTACCTCCCTTCTGAAACTAGGGAAGTTAAAGGGAGGGCTGGATATGATGAATGAGAAGGGGCTATGTACTTCTTAATGCTTAGACCTGAAAACCAAACCATACAGTGTATCATAACTAAAGGACTAAAAAGTCCCTAAAACTGGATTTTGTTCTAATTACTGTTCCGTTAGCCCCTATTAAAATCACTGATTCCCTGTTGCTAGATAATGAATGAGTTCAGGTAGTGTAATGTTCCCATGAGAGAAAAAATGTGTTATTGATATTCCTCTAAGACTTTTTGAAGTGTTATCTTGAAAACATCAGTGGAGGAGGCAGTAATCATCGTAAAAATAAATTTTTAACATTCAGGAAACATCTTGTGATCATTCTTAGAATTTGCCTCCTCTGCTTTGGGCTTGAAGGGCTGTGTAGTGTAAGGACAGGAGTATGAATATTGAAGCCATTGAGAGAAAACTTGAGAGAAGTCCCTTTGTGGTCCACAACTAAACACAATTTAACAAAATCCTGAGAATACTGAGTGAATCCTGAGTGTTCAGACATTGTTAAATAATTAACACAATTTCCAGTTAAAAGAAAAATAGTGTTATATCTGCCTTGTGCCTTTGATATCTGTTGAAGTTCCTGATCGCATAATATCCTGTGAAATTCTAGGACTGGACCATAAATTGCTGTTTAATGTATTTATAATTTGGATACATACTTAGAGACTAGCTGTATCAGCTGGACACACTGAGGGAGAATTGTGATCCTTCTTCAAAGTGTTCAACAGAAGAAAACAGTTTTAACTGTTTAGTAGCACACAAGTTCATTTTCTATAACCTCTACATACAGCTGGGGATCTTAAATTACATGATCTCATGAAAGAGAGAATATACAGAAGTCTATTTGTTAGGATGTTTTAGTAGTTTTAATTGAAAACAATTCTTTCTCCTATAGTGCTGCAATTGGAAATTTTTAGTATTTCCACAATATGGTATTTGCTACTTACTCACCACCAGCAGATTTGGAAATGTTCAAACTAAGAAATTAAAGTGAAATACTGGGTCTACATTTCTTAGAGAGTTTCACAGAAAGCAGTGAATTTTTCACCTCCCACTGTCTCCAAAGCAAAGTGCCAAATTACTCCATTTTATTCAAATTAAGGCACAAGGAGAGTGGAATGTATGCTGAGGTATAATTACCTGAACAAACCCATCACACAGCTGCTGTATCAGCCTGTTTCAAAGGAATTAGGGTCATACTAGGGCAGCAACTCTTGAAGAAAGCTACATGGGACATTGTGGCAAGTATGATCTTAAAAAATTGATAACCTTTAGAAAAAATATGGAGCCCAGAGCAGAGGCACAGGCACATACTCATTTCCAGTGCTGCTCATGTGTTCTGCATGCACAGTGTTGTGGCCTCGCTCACACAGTACAAGAACAAATGACAGCATCATCCAAGCTCAGCAGTGCTTTAAGAGATGGTTAAATCCTGCCTCACTTGAAGATGCTGTGTTTTGTGAATGACCTCCGTGCTCAGGCCTGTTTCCATGATGATTGATGGTGTAGTCTACCACAGGCAGGAGTACTTAACTGTACTAAAAATGAACAGTGCATTATCCATCCTTCTGCAGTCTTCTTCATCACCACTGGGGCATCAGCCATCCACATCTGTAGTCAGTTTAGTGATTTCACTGACCAACTGATTTTTTTCTGGGTTTATGATGAAAATGAGATTCTAGTTTTGCTCAGAATGGGAATAGCCTTGTCAGGCAGTTCTGTCTTGCCTGCCACTACTGCCTTCCAGCCTCTCTCTCCATTACCTGATGTTTAAAGCTGTGGCAGATCATCCCTGTTCCCTGCACAACCAGGCAGTACAGATGGACTGGGCCATCTCTGAGCCAGCACCTTGCATGCAGCCAACATGCAGGAAAACACAGGCTTGTCAGGAGTGTCTTTTATTTGGTTGCAGAGTTCATTGCAGTGTGCAGACTGCCCTGCTCTGTGCTCAGCTGCCCCTCACCCCCACAGCCCTTCCCCAGCCCAGGGCCCATACCACAGGAGATGTGGTAACATGCAAGCTGCTAGGAGCTATTGGTATTGATTGTTTGGTTTGGGAAGGCAAATCTAGGAGCTTCTCAGAGTCACTGATGAGACTGATCTGCTGCTCCATTGACTAGCTGGCATCTTGTCCAACCCCCCTGCTCAAGCAGGGACATCTACAGCAGGTTATCTAGGACTCAGTCCAGATGGCTTTTGGCTACCTCCAAGGACAGAGAGTGCTGTCCTCCAAGGATTGAGTACTCTGCAGCATGAGCGCCCTAGAGGTCCTCTGGGAATAACCAGAGACGTGCATTGTGGATACAGACAAAAGTGTAATATCCTCACCATGGTCTGTTGTACATGAAAAAAAGTGTAGTTTCAGGAATTACCCTCCCATGTCTTACAGCAGATTTAATAGCATTGAGTAATGAAACCTAGAAAAACAACACTCAGTGTGCTACCTTATTCAAAGCTTTATTAATTAAATTCATTTTATTTTAATTTATTAATATAATACCTTATATTTTCTCACTTTTGTGCATAGGTTGCCCAGAGTTTCAGATGTGTCCCAGCTTCTGCAGGGCTTGTAGCCTCATGAGCAGGATGGTCTAAGGTTTATTCACCAGTTCTGAAAAAAAAAACATCCAGCTAGTTTTGGGGTCAGCAGACTTGGATGATGAGCCTGGATTTACGTTCTTTGTTTCTAGTATTTGAAGCTTTGGTACTTAGGTGGCTGTGAGAGAAAACATGGGTGTTGAAAATCTAATTCAGGAAGCCAGAATAAGGTTTGTGACCCTCCCACAGATATGTTTATACAGCCAGGTTATATGGGTTAATTGTAGTTGAATTTGATTTTAGTCTTTAAGCAGTTTTATAGAGTTAAATATTATTTAGACCAGGATTTATGAGAAGGATTCTGCTGTCAGCTGATTAGTGCATTTGTGTTTAATCTGGAGAGTTTAAATCAATCAAGTTTCTAATCAGTCTGATTCTTGGTGTGGGGAGCTAATTATTCATCTTTTCACACAAAGTGGAAGAGCTGCAGAAAACAGAAAAGACTCAGCCCTTCTGGGGGAAGTTGTTTGACGTTCTTAGTAGGAGACATCAGCTTCCTAAACCCAAACTTCTCCAACAAGAATTGATAGGGGAACTGGAAAGCTGGGGGAAGGAGTGCCATATTCTTTCAGGTTCTGATGAAAAATTTTATGTTGGATTTCAAAGAAACCTGTGTCAAAAATTATATTTTTCCTGCAAGGTTTGACCTCGCTGATTTTGATCTTTCAATAAAGACCTGCTTTGTCAAAAAAAGCTGAAACCCAGACCTTTACCATATGTGCTCCTAAGGCACCTGCACAGGAAATAATAAATTTCTTTACTAGGGAAGAATGGTAGTATGACTTCTCCTTCAGGTTTCAACCAGTCCATTTTTTTGTGTGTACCTACCTTCAAGAGATTGGGGATGCAAGCAAAGTTTTATCTTCTTTTTCTTCCTGTCCTCTCTTTGTGTCAATGAGAAAAAAAGAAGAAATTACTAAAACAATAAAAATGAATTATCTCTCAGAAATAGCCACCAAGGGCTATAGACAGTTCTGTGAGATTTATCACTGGTTTTGAGAAAGTGGCATCAGGATGCTGGTGAGCCCAGCATGGAAAAAAGTCACATAGGCTGTTCAGTGGGTCACCACTTTCAAGAATACATGCAGGGAGCTAGAGTACAGACATCATCCTCATCAGTGATGGGCTTTGGTCTTCAAGGCATTAGGG